TTTTCCCCCTGGGAACAGATGAGAAACGCATGCGTTACCAAAAGTGTTCTCATTTTGTATTTAAGGGGAAACTAGTGCTGTTAAGAATAACATTTTAAACCTAACATTTATTATATATTTTATTCTTTAAGGAGCTCAAAAATTATACATAATCATTAGACAAAATATCCAGTAAGTTAACCAAAGTCACGCTCCAAAGTCTGTAAGTACTTGCGATAATTGTGAGAAAATGCTGCCCGAGAAATTGACTTCGACACGCAGTGCATTTGGAAAACATTTGCTTAAATGCCGCAAACCAAAACTCAGATAGCTGAAGAATGAAATAGGCACATATACTATCCCCTCATGGTGCAGCTGCGTTACGTGCACGTTTGTGCCACATTTGCAACCCATCCCGCCCTACATTCCATCCACTCGCGGCCTCCAACTCAATGGTGCACCACAAAACGCGCAGCCAATACGCCCGTGGCTCCCTGGTAACTTGGGATCGAGGGGGTATTGGGATATGGGAATTGGTATCGTTGTTGGTATTCCACAGAGAAATGAGAATGTTCAAAGTTTTCATGTTTCAGGGAGAAAAGCTTTCTAAATTTTATATTATGTAATACTATATTTCACTATAAATTTGTATGTTCTATTATATCGTTTTAGGAACGTGTCATATAATATTAAATACGATCAATACTGTTTGTGTTTTTATATCTTTTCATACATTTTCTACTATATAAACTAATTTTTTTCTTATAACTAATCTTATGTTTCCAATCAGTGAAATTGTGTAGTCAGAAGCAAACAAAAAATAGAAGAAAATACGTGAAAATATGTTACGAAAATATTTAAAAGTTAATCCAATGTGCATTCCTTATATGAAAATTTTTTTTTCAAAATGTTTTCATTAATATTACAAAATTATAAGACTTGACATTTAATTTAATTTAAATTTTATTATAGGAATAATATCTGTATGTTCCTTTTAAATATATAAATCCTGCAAAGTCAATACATCTAAACTTAAGTGTATTAAATGAATATACTTTTAATATTGTAAGAAAAAAAATATGATGATATCATTTTGGATGATTAGTTTTTTTTTCTCTGTACGGTAACGGTATTGGTATTGGAATGGATGCCAACTAGCACGCGAGATATTGATGTGCACAAAATATGCCAAATATCAGCGTGGAGGAAGGCCCATACATTATACAATACATACATGGGCACTAGTGTGAGCTGCCAAATCAAGCGCAAGCCCAAAAGTAGCAACAAATAAAATTTTATGCGCTGTGCGAAAAGTTTTCCTTTTGCATAACGCCCAGCCCAGCAAATACGACGGCCACAACAGGAGCATCATTGGGGAAGGCAATGGCAATTTACATGTACAATGCAAAAGTTTCGATTTTATTGTGTGGGTTGTGCTGGGAAGGGAATAGGGGAGGGGGTAGGGGATTGATTTTTTTTGAAAATGGGTTGGTTGAGATGTCTGCTTCGGTTTGTTTTCACTCTGACAGTCATAGGAGATCGAAACGTTCTCCGCCCCACGTGCCACGATAAACACAAAGGGCAGCAACATCGAGCGATTGCCGCCGCTGGCGATGGCCAAAAAGTCAAAAATAGTTTCGAAACGCCATTTGTTGTACTTATTTTCGGGAATGCCAGTTAAGTGGAGGGACTTCATTTGCCAGCACATACTCGAACAGGAGCTGAACGAACTTTTCGTTTTCAGTTTTAAATCGTTAACCAACTTAAAGTGGAACATTTTCTGTGAAAATGCTGCTCTTTGAGCATTGAATACTGATGCAGGTAAAATATGGAGTTCTAAAATAATTGTAATGCGTTACATAACAAATGATAATCTAAACCTGAGCTTGTATCTGCGATCTCCATTTGCTAAAAATAGTTATACTCATGCTATGAATTGAAATCTAATATTTTACTAAAAATTTTGTCAAGATATCCTAGTTGGCAAAGTTATTTTCCGTCCAGTATCTGAAGGGCCCCCCTCTGCGAGCAGAATGTTTTGCTTGAAACAGATCGTGTTTCATTTTTAAGCGAATTACGTATCCTAAAATGGTTGCAAAGCACGTTGAAAAGACTTAGCTGGGAAACATTGTTGGCATTTTCAACTGTACAAGGCATTGCTTTCTACTTATTCGCATTAACTCAGACCGAACAATGAATGAGATGGATGTGAATACACATATATGCGCTCTAATGTAGTTTATACCCACAATTTAACATGACCAGCTACCGCAGATGCAGATGCAGATGCAGTGCAGTGCAGTGCTTGGCTATAGCTAATTTGCATATTGTGTGGGTCAATTGCATTACAGACGCCGGATTCCGGGCGAGTCCTAATCAATTGGATTGTTGTGTGCTCATAAACCGAAGGCTAATCAGTCGGACTAGCCTTGGGATACTCAAAAATTAAGGCACTGGTTTCAAAGGGTCAAACAAGATATTTGAGAGAACATTTTGTGGGTAGCTGAGCCACACAAATCCTTACAATCCTTTTTGGAATCTGATTAGATGAAGCTGTGCTGCAATGTGAAGCTCTGTTGAAGGGGAGCGAATCAAGGCATCTAACGTATTAGCGCACCCATGACAGCTTAAATTTCCACAGGGCCATTTTTTTTACGCAGCCTTTTTGTTGCATATTTCAGGGCGCCGCTGCCCATTGCACTTGTTGGCCAGGAAACACAACGAACTGCCAAATGGCTAGCGCAAAGCGGAAGAAAAACTAAAACAAATGTCAGTCGTAGTTGACGCGTTGCCACCGACCACCAGCCACCGGAGCGGTCCCAAAGCGCCACCGCCCCCTTCTCGCCCCAATCTCCATCCCCATCCACATTCCCGCTGGCTGCCTGGGAAATGCAAATGTCATTTGCAGTTGACACTTGACTCAGCACTTCGCACTGTCCTAGGGCACTTTGGGGTTTTCACCTGCGTCTTCGCGCCCGCTTTCGCCACCCCACCCCACTACACCCCATTTACTGCATTTGGTGGCACAATGGCTGCATTCCCCACACACCCGCAGACACCCCGCAAATAAAAGAAAGTGGAATAAAACAAAAGTTGTGGGGCAGCTACAACGAAAAAAAAAAGTAGAGCTTAGCGCGAGCAAAAGGGGGGAGACTAATGCCAACTGAACATGAATAAAGTCGTGGCCCTTTGGGATGCTGCTACCGCTGCCATGTCGTCGTTAGTCTCGTGGTCGTCATTAGGAGGGCAGACGTCAAAGTATGCGCTTTGTTTTTGCTGCGTGCCATGCAGCGTGTTAATAGCCAGGCACCGGGCTCCGCCAGGCACTACTTCACTACACAGAGAGCAAAACTCCAAAGTTATGCAGCAATAACAGATTGAAAATAACTCAACTATTTTTTGAACAATATAAATCTCAAGTTTCCTTAACTAGTCAAGTTAATACAATCTATTCCAAGCTAACTTCGGCAAGCCGAAATTTATATACCCTTGCAACTTTTGCAAAATTTAAATATTCTTGAAAACAATTAAATGTCGTTTTATATGCGTATGTGTTTAAAAACGTTGAGGCTATGATGATTTTCATTAAGATTTTGTTGCTTAAACTTGCTTAACTATACTATTTATTATTTATTAAATTAATAAAAAATAAAAATTTTTTATATTCATTTTTAAAAAAATTGTTTTCATGAAAAACTTAGAAATATACAAGACTTACAAGGCTTATTTGGCAAACCCTGTAATAACTTCTCTATGTGCAGCACCGTGAGGCATGAAACCGCTGCCCGCTTAAAAGCCAGAAGCCGAAGTTGACAGAGTCTGGGAGGGGGCGTGGCGAGGGGCAGGGCGGCCCACGTGGACCTGGAGCCACGGCAAAGTCAAGTGCTGCAGTCGCCGTCGTGTGGCGAAAGTGAAGCTTACACAGCGTGCAGCGAGTGGCTGACATCTCGTGTGGCTGTTGGCTGAGCGTTGAGCACATTAAATTGATGCGCTTGATGCGGATTACAAAGAAAATCGAGCTTAAAGTTAGAAAGTAATTGTGAAGCAATAGTGGAAATATTTTGTAATTAATAAGATTATTTAATTTGAAGGCAATTAAATTAATGGACAAGTCCAATGGTGCGTATGCGTTATTTAAACGCCATCTAAACGGATTTTTGCCGAACTCAGCGAAAGCTATTTTATTAACTTACATTAAAAGCCACTAGATGGGGGTACTAAAGCTTTGCTTAAATTTTTAAGTGAATGCATTATACTCATAAAAATAGTTATTTAAACACTTTAGCTGCATTAAATTTATTATTGTAAATAAATTAAAATTTTTAGTAATTAAAATTTATATATTATTTTGATTTATTTTATACAAAATTTTAGTAAAACATAAATTATTTCATTAATTAATTAATTATTAAGTCCTCCAGCATGTCTAATCGACTTTTTTCTTTTAAAGAAAAATAGCCATAAATTTTTTAGTGCATCCTTTCCCTAAAAAATAAAAAGCCCTTAAAACTATTTTACAAATATCTATATTTAACAAAATGTTAATACAATTGGAAAAGTTTCCTTAGGATGAATTTATAAATGAGAAAAATCGTTTCAAATTAGGACAAAATTTAGCAAAATGGGCCGTTAAATCACTGTCCAATAGTTAAAATCCATTTTACGGCAAAAATTTGTATCAGTGTAAGCTAACTTTCCCAAGAGAACAACATTAGCTCACAGTACTGTTCCACAAATATTCCATTCTCTATGCAAATCAGTGGCAGTCATAGGCTTGCAATTAAATATCGAAATATGCATGATTAACTATAAAAAATTTACCCGTTCAACTGATTTTCATCCCATGACAATAAAAAGACCAATGCAAAACTTCTCCTCAGAGAGTGAGTGGCAATGGAATCGCAAACGCTGTAGGGCCGAGCAAATAAGCCAAGAGAGAGGACTCGATATTTTTGTTTATTTAACAAATCCATCCTCACCCGGGGGAATGCAACGTTGAGCAGTTGTCGTTTGGCTGGCATGCAAGCGGTACATAAAGCTCCGTACACCGGAAACGATCGCGTACTTTCTCGGATTCGATCACCCACACTTATAGAGGATATATATCGCTCAAATCATCACTCAAATCGGTAATCCTTCAATGCAAAACGAGTCATTATATAACACATTTACTAGGTCTTTTAAAGTATGATAATATTTATACTTCACATTTTCTTTTGACCTATCTCAATAAATAAAACAGTCGGGCATATTCCAAAAACTTAAATAATTTGTTGTTCTTAAAAAAGCGCTTTTAAAATTAACTGTTCACGGTTTTGCATTTGGTAAGAAACAAACGTTTATCGCTTAACGATAACGATTAAAAGATTACTGTAATTAAAAAAGTACTTAAAAAGGAATATGTTCATGGCTTTGCATTTTTTAAAACGCATTTGCATTACGTGAGAAACTAATTTTATAACTATTAAGATTTAAAGGTTTCTGTGATTCCGAAATAAACGTAATACAAAAATAAAATAATACGATTTTAATAAATACTTTAAAATTGTTTCTTATAATGTTTTTTTTTATTTTTAAAGTAATATAAATAGTCATGGATAACAGCAACCCATCGCCCGATAATGCGCTGTGGACACTTCAGGGTCGGGAAAGACCAAGTCCCGCCCAGAGGCTGCACAACCTCACCTCGGCCGCCGCATCGAACTCAACTGCCGGCCTGCCCCTGCCCCAGAATATCTTCACCAACCCAGCCATCCAGCCGTCCAGCGTTATCAACCTCAATCACTCCACCGACGTGGTGATCGGTCCCATGACCCAATACCAGGGACCGGTATCCATATACTATATGGACTATATGGAGGCACACGCCATGCAAACGGCGGCAGGTAAGTTCCCAATCCTGAATGTAGTCGGTAACTATAAATACAGTTGGCAATCGACAAATAGTAAATAGTAACTTGATCATTCGAAATCTACAATTATTTTTGTGTGTAGCCGCTATTTTTTTATAAACAATCAATATAAACAAAAATATTTTTTTAATTTTTTTGTATACTACATTATTGAAATTTAAAGATTAGGATTAAGATTAAAAACTTCCTTATTAAATGTAATTTTTTACTTTGAAATTATGTTTTAATATAATGAAACATAGCTTTGAATTCGCAATTTTTACAATATACAATGACATAGTTTATGGAATCTATTAAATTTCAAATATATTTTCAGTCTTCAATTCAAAGTCGTCTTACATGTTAAAATTTGTTTTTGTTTTCATATTTTGTGTTAAAAGTGCATTTATGTAGAAAATTTGTATTGACAATTGTAAGTTCCTGGTCTGATCTGGTCTTAAAGCAGCTTGTAGTAAAAAATTTAGTGATGATTTAAGTTGGTGTGAAAATAGTTGGTGGCAATTAAATACAAAACTTGATCGTCCACTATGATATGAGGGATATGGGGTCAATAATTTATCGGGAAGAACAAAACAGATTAGTGAATAACCGAGCTAATTGAAATGCAAATCGTGTGTCGGGATTCGTGGAATCCCCATATAAATAAATGCGGGAATTCGAGCAGAAAGAGAGCACTCGCTCAGTTGCACTCAGATATAGAGGAAGATACGGCTACGGCTATCCAGTGTTTTGTGGATCAATCTGTAGCTTTTGCGATGCACAGCGCATATTGCGCATACGTCACGTAGTACGGAAGAGAGAGGCAGAGAGAAATACGATAAGTAAGAGTGCAAAGCGTAAGTCTGTAAAATGTGATATGGCAAAAAAAATAAACAACAACAATAACAATAAAAGGCCGGCGGTACCATGACGCACCCCCACCACTCCCCCTCCCTCTCCCCCTCCCTCTGCCCCTTGGCCTTCCTTCCATCACACAAACAAACACGAAACATGTCAACCAAGGGTAGAGCGAGATGGCTGCTTTTTAGCGCTTTTGCCATTTCAGTTTCTGTTTCTGTTCCATCGACAGCTGCGCCGCATTTCAGTTGTTTGTACGACGGGTTCAGGTGCGGTGGCGGTACTAGTGGCACTCCGTCCAATTATCGGTCAAACCCATTATAAAACAATAAATATCAAGACCGCTTCTGTTTCCAGTTTTAAGTTTCCAGTGTCCAGTATTTGAGTATTTGTGCAGCGCCCATTTAGTTATGTCGATTCCGATGATTCAGCAACGGATAATTACTCATGGCAGATAGCTCCCTTATAATGCCGAGTGTTACGAGTGCCAAAAAGTTGTGATAACCAAGTGTGTCCGCCACCGTGGAACAAAGTGCCATGAAACTGCTGCTGAAAGTTCACTCGGAGCGCACGGCGCGCAGGCGACGAACTCCAGAGCCCAATGTGACCCCCTCCCGGGACTCATCAAGTATATACAAGCAATCGATCACCTCATTTAATCACCGACTTTCAACTGCAAAAAGTTGTATTTAGTTGTAGCCATCAAGGGTGTCGGCCAAATCTTAATAATACATAACAAAAAAGTTATTTCCAAGGAATTTTTGAGATAGATTTACCGTTTCCAAAAAGGAGATTTTGAAATATTACAAATCTATATACATATTCATCAAACCGATAATTTTTAAATAAAAGAAATTATAATTTAAGCCAAGCAATAATTTAAATATAATAATAATATAATAATATTCATATTAATTAAATTTTCATCTATATTTTTGTTAAAATATAATTAGTCGAATCATTTATTATTTTAAACGATAAAACGTCAGCATTGAATGTACCAAGCAAAAGATTTAAATATATCTAAATATCTTATATTTAGAGGATTAGAGACAGACAGATAACAATAACGAATTAAAACAATACGTTAATATATTTCTCAACAGATTTACATATGTTCGACTTCAGATTAAGTAAATAATATATTGTTATTGCTTAATATCAAAAAGATTCGTTCTTTTGATATGTAAATCCATAAGACTTTTGTAAAGCGTTTTAAATAAGTCATATCCATTGAATTGATGCCATCTTAACTCTGTCCATACCAAATGCTAATTTATTGACTTCCGCTAATCTAGGAATCAATAGCCACAATGCCAATGGCAACGGCAACGTAAATCGCGGTCGCGATAAATCGCCATCGAAGCGCGTCACGCGGAACACCATCCTGCTGATTACGCTCATCCTGCTGGTCCTGGCCACTGCACTGGTGGTGCTCTACGTGGAGCTGAATCGATCACGGACCGAGTTGCCCAGAAAAAAAGCCATCTACTTTGGCAATAACTACGACCACGACACGTGTAAGTGGGCGGGACTGGGATTGTCCTCTCAGCCAATTCATCAATTTTGCAGTTCCGAATCTAGGAAACGGCCACCTGGTCATCGACAGGAAGCAGTGGGGCGCCGCCAAGACCTCGCGAGACCTCACCATTCCGCTAAAGTCGCCCATTCCCTACGTCCTGATCACCCACATCGGAGTGCAATCGCTGCCCTGCGAAAACGTCTACAAGTGCTCCATCAAGATGCGCACCATCCAGGATTCCGCCGTTGCCGAGAAGCATTTGCCGGACATTCAGTCAAATTTTTATGTAAGTATTTTAACAGGGTATACGAGTTTAGGGTTATTTGTTCACTACTTTCACTTGGTAAATCGAAAAGGTTTTTTTTTAAATGGAAAACAAATTGTATTTTTTTTAAATTTATATTTTAACATGCTCTTGGTTCGCATCGTCATTACATAAAAATTAAATTAATTATTTAAATTAAATAAAAAGTTTCCATTTTCAATAATAAATTCATCCTTTGACAAATAAATTTTACACAAAGAAGTACAACCTTTTTTTTTTAATTTTGGGAAACTAAAATAATTAATATTCGAGTGTTGTAGAAAAAAGAAATACCGGCGCGTGCATTTGTGTTCCCAGCACGTTCACGTGCCATTTTGGGCATTTTGCTTTCCGCTTACGCAAATTATCAAATTTCCGAATTTGTTTCGACCAGGTTTCGGATGAGGGCAACATCTACGTAGGCCGCGGCTGGGACTGGGCCAACACGTATGCTAACCAGACGTTAGCCGTTACCTTTATGGGCGACTACGGCCGGTTTAGGCCCTCGGCCAAGCAATTGGAAGGTGTCCAGTTTCTGCTGGCCCATGCAGTGGCCAATCGAAATCTAGAGGTGGACTACAAACTAGTGGCCCAAAATCAGGTAAGAAAATTAACTGAAATTGTACTCTTAAAATATAATTTTTAATTCATATATTTTGTGAACCAACAGACCAAGTCGAGCAAAAGTCCGGGCGCCTATGTCTTTGAAGAGATCCGGAACTGGCCGCACTTCTACGGCTGCAACATGGACGGAGCTCCGGCCTGCGGCATCGAACTGGGAATGAAACCGGAATCGTGGGATAGCAAGCAATAGCGACAGACTTCTTACCACCTATGTGTATCCAAGCACAAAATATATTTAATACTTATACTAAGGCGAAACGGGCTTTCTTTTAATCGGTTATGCTGGCACGAAAACGCAGTAAACCGGTTGAGAGCGGGCGGTTTATTTATTGAGCAACTATCTCCCTCTCTCACTGAAGCTGTTTGTTTGTTAAGTGTCGCTCAAAAAGCTGGAAATTCCCAAGCGGCAGTCAACCTATCAGTACCAGTACCAGTGCCAGTGTCAGTGTCAGAACCCCTCCGCATACCCCCTATAGACGGGCTTTAACACTCAGCCTTTGTGCGCCAGTACAACATCATTATCGGTAGGCTCTCGTCACTTCTGTTGATGGTGTTGTGATCACTGGGGCTGCCTTTGTCATTTATCTGGTTTTCAAGTTAATTAATATGCAATAAAATAGAATGATTGTTTCTCGTTTGGAATAAGTACTTTCTTTACTTAATAGGAAATTGCACAGAATCTTATTGTAAGTTAATACATTGGATATTCCCGAGTTGTGGGTGTTAAGGTATCATCTCTGACCTTTAGTTTACAGCCAACATTGTAGCACATGTACATTAAATTAAAAATTAATATATTGGATATTTCCCAATTGTGGGTGTGTACTTTAACCCCCTTATCACCACCGACCGTCTGTTCAACCCCCTTCAAGAGTGACGTACATCCATTGACTAATTAAAACCACAAAGCCTTGAGAAAAGGTTACACCTACTCTACGTATCGTATTTTTGGCTATAAACAATGACAAGAGTGCGGCACGTGTAGTTACCAAAAAAAAAAAGGCGAAGATTGAACCAAGCAAAGAGAAATAATTAATAATAACTGGGGAAGGAAAATGTGTTAAGCTAGGTATCTAAAAATAGCTATGGTGATTGATTTTGCAGCCGATGTAAAGAAATTTTTAACTGCTTCATCGGAAATGATTTAAAATAATTACTGACGTTTTTCGCAATAAAACGGGTCAACAAAGAATAGATTGCCTGGCTACAAAGGGCATAAATCATTAGATGATGTTTAAGTCTGAACTTGAACTGCAGTCGTAAAACAATACATTTAACAGGCCTCTCAAATGCTTATCAGTATTTCAAAAAACATTTAGAAACAGAAATGAGACATTTTATACATTTATTAGCGATACAATTTTGTCAAGCTTTCTATTTATTATTATCTTTGTTTTCTATATATAAATAAAAAAGAGTATTTTGATATCGTTCCGCCAATTTATAGCTCTTTATGATTTATCCATTAACAGTTTCCCGGCGCCCTTTTTGGACTATCAACGATCGCCGAACCGTGGTTCGTTCATAATTACATTAAATATTTTTGAACGCATGTACAATGGGTCAAACTGGAGTTGGGAGAGAAAAGGCCTGTACCACAAAGTGAAATAGCCAAAACCGATTGCGGGCCACAAGCAAAACAATTCTCGGAAATGGTAGCGCAATTTAAAATGTTCAAATTTTAGCCCTCAACTGCACTGTCTGTGCCAAAAGTGTTCGGAGCCGGGAGAGAGCCGGAGATTTGTGTTGTTTATTGGTTGAACAAATAAAAAATTATAATACATATACACCGCCAATATCTGTCGGTGTGGTGTGGACGACTAAACAAAAACAAACAGTCATCGTCAGGTGGAGAACTGGAGAGCTCGATCGCCAGCCACTGGGCGTAGCTAGAAGTATCATTATAAATTTGACTAATATCTGGAAGATATAAAAAAACCAGAAATAGGGAACAGGTTCCTCAACTTAGTGACGCACCGAAAAACCGAAAAACGCAGCTCTGAAAATTCAGCTTTCGGAATCGGTTCAGATTCTTAAGATCACTAACTTTCCGCTACAAACCCGTTTCGATCGGGGAAAACTCCTAAGTAACTCGATTGCACCAAATTCGAAGAACGAAATGAAAATCAATATCACTATCTGGCATATAAAAAACATTGTTTTTAATCATATCACTCATGTAATTTGGTTTAGCCCTTGCTTTGTAATGAAACATTTTTCAAGTTTATTTTGTACCGATAATTTTTTTAAAACAAAACTATAAGTCTAAAGACTGCGGTTGAATTGCTGGCAGCATAAATAACTTCCGCCTTTTGCCTCGTTTTTTTTGTATTTATCTAAAACTAAAAATTTTCAGAAAATACCTGGCTAGAGAGGGGTATTGACATAATTAAAATCATTTTTATTGTGACTTTTTAACCCCTTTATTTGCAGTTCAACCATTTTTTATATACTCCGTTTATGTTAATACAGATTTATTCTTAAAACTGCATCCATACTTTACTTTTTTTAAAATTTTGTAGGACAAGGCTTTCCAGCTGCTTTATGAAAATTTTTTCAAAAAACTTATATTAAAATGCAAATCTGTAACAAGACGTGTTGGACTGCCTTAAAATCGGACTCAAATCAAACAACTTTGGTTAAATAATAAAAAGCCGATCGCTCTCCTGTTCTCTCTCTCTTTTCTCAGCGCTCTACTCTCCCGATCGCGCTCCCACACGCTGCCATTATGGACGCTCCAGCTTTTCAGGCCGCTGCGATTTGATCGCCGCTCAGTTGATCAGAGTCACTCGAACGCGCCGCTGCTCAACGAATCCGAATTGGCGCGAAAACAAATACAAAAAAAAAAAACAGTTACAAGTTTTGTATATAGTATAAACGCTCAAATATTTACGTGCTGCATCGGATTCGTCGGCGATTGGAAGTGCGTAAAAAATAAAACATTGTATATAGAGCATTATACACCTCAGAATACCCAAGTTTTATATGGTTAAAGCACTTAAAAATGTGACCACAACTATAAATCATTATTATTGACCAATTAAAAATGTGCCAAGGTGTAAACTAGTTCATTTGAAATGTATGCAGTTTACAAAACGTGATTTTTCTGTGGAATGTTAATAACCCTTTCGTAAAACCCCAAAGGAAACGGAATATTTCCTGGGAAAAACAAGCTATCGAAACACCGATCGAAAATCAATTTATTTGCACATAGGCCATATTTAATGATAATTTTGAAAACACGTAAAACACCAGAGTTGTTAATTATTATCGATTCTCCAGACAGAACGAATTCAAACAACAAAGAGACACCCATATTGCGCTGTTTTTGTGAGTGTATAAGTGGCAATGGCCGCCGCTCAAACGGCAGTGTATTGGTGCGCTCAGTAATGACACTCAATGTGCCATACAGTTCCTCATTTTTGTAGCCGTTGTCGTTGCTCGGTATTCCATTCCGTGTTATCTCAAAAGTGCGCTCTGTGCCAACTCTGGCACATCGATACTAACATATAGTATACAGTCAATATTCTTTCGGGTTTATCAGAGTTCCGAGAGTTCTGGGAATTATATCGAAGAGAATTACTGTCTTGCATTTGGGCCAACCTCTTGGGGAAATTGAAAAACTTCTACCAAGACGTCTTGCCATAAATATGACGATCTTTGATCTATCGAGAGACTTGCATATATCCCCGATTTGAGTAGCAAGTGTGTTTTGTGTTTCGTATTTCTCGGAATCCACTTAAGTAAATTTACTACGTCAATGATTATAGCTAATTTGCATAAGCCTTGCTTTCGTGAGACCTTATTGACGAACTTTATGAATCGAATTGAGCGTTATACTATATTGTATTGTACCTCTGTGTGCTGAGCAATAAACTAAATATGGCCGTGCACTATTCGAAAACCCGCATGTCTTAATTACACAAACTTCATTGCTACACAGCAGCCACACAGCATTTCATTCGCGTTTTATAAACTGTATAGACGGGCCCTCAGGCAATCGAGCTTATCAACAATCGTGTATACATGAACTGGAAGCGTTGATTATACGTATAAAGCACTACGAAACTGGCAAATAGAATGCCCTAATGGACTGTGATAACAATAAAACAATTGCTTAAAGCATTTAAAGCTAGTTAAACTAATTTACAAATATCATATTTGTGCTGTGCTTTTATACCAAAATTATAGAGATAAAAAAAATTGTATTTGATAAAAAAATGAGTAATAAAATATATTTCATTCGGAATTAATTCAGAAATGATGCTTTCGAAAAATGTTATCAACCAAACCAACCAAATATATCAAAAGATAATGTTTGTTAAACTTCATAAAACAATAGTTAAATTTTAAGTGAACCCAGAGTGAAGCCACAGTAAAGCCCATTTAAACTCAATACAAACAATGACTTTCTTCGAAATTTATCATTTGACTAGCTCATTATCAAGCAGTTAACCGGGAACAAAAAAAACGTATACTTATTTGCAGATGCTCACGATGTGATGTTTGCCCAGAGCTGCGCCCAGTCAGCCGATCTGCCATAAAATAATCTAAACCCCGGCGAAAATGTTCTACCCCATCTGCTAAGTAGGAAGGCTAACATATAACACAGAGGAAATTGAAATCTGGTTACGTGACTGTTTCGATCGCTCGACATGCATTTAAGCAATGAAACGGAAATGAACCAATGTCCCAAGACGAAACGTAGACTCCTAGATCCTTCGGCCCCCAAAAACTGCAGTACTTCGTCGACGGACTCGGGTGTTATACTGAACGATAATGCGGCGGCATTCCGGCCGGAGAAGGAGAAGAAGAAGGAGACCAAAGACGGAGGGTCGGACGGAGGACAGTTCCAATCAAAATCGGATGTGAAAACGGAACACAAGCGTATCAGCATCGAGCACACTGTGAATATAACAAAGGAAAATGCTGAAAAGTCATCGTCGCCGACGGTGTCCATACGGAGCACAACCATTTCGATTGTGTCCATCGATGAGAATGCCATCGACTCCAGTTGTATTGATAGTGATTCGGAGGCCGACGATGCCGAGGATTACACGGTCCAGAAGCTGGGTCAACAGGTCACCTACCCGCCCAACAGTTCCCACCTGCGCGACCTCAATCAGGGTCTGACGGTGATCAGTCACCAGGTGGGTCCCGGCCAGGCGGCAGTCCTACCTCCGAATCCCATGGAGGCTGGTGTCGTGGCCAAGCAAATATTGAACGGCAGTCTGGCCGTGGCCACGCCCACTCCGCCGCCGGGCGGAGCAGCCCAGGGAATCGGAAGCATCGCGCTGACCAACTCCACGGACGTGACCTTCGGCGACAAGCATTTCTACGAGGGACCCGTCACGATACAGCAGTTTCTCATCGACAATCGGGACAAGTGGAAAGCGGGCGAGGGCCCAGGAGGCGGTCAGGATAATCCCGCCTTCAATGGTGGCGCTACAGTGAATGGGAGTGCGGCGAGTAAGTTATCATGTCATAAATCAAACCAAACTAAATGTACAAATATTTTAAAATATATAAATATAAAAAACCAAGCCTACATTCAAACAATTTAATCTTTAATTTTACTATTTATTTATTTACTATATACAACACCAACTATCTTACATTAAATTGACAGGGGTACGATGTTAATTTTATAAATTCCTTTTAAAGAAAACGTCGTCAATTTAAAAAGTTTTGATGAAATTTCGATAATTTAAAAAAAAGAAATCTAAAAACGGTAATATTAAAATATACAGTGAATAATTAAATTGAATATTAAAATTAAATATTAAATCGTTTTATTAATTCTAGACATATCAAATGGCACGAAAGAATATAATATAAGAAATTTAAAAATATTTTACTGAACACGTTTGCACATACATCTTAATACCTTTTCTTCGATGTATGTCCTTAATATATAGATTATCGCTGCTATTTCCTGCTGCTTCTGTGAACATTCCTATTCTGTCTTCACATTGCCTCGGTTTTGTTTGCTTAATTGGGCGATACGAAGCGCATGTGGCGATTTGTTTACCCAACCCAGTCAGACAGTTGGCCTGGTCTAACGACCGTTCTGCGAATGGTAGATTAGCAGATGGCCCACAAATCGCTTGAATTTATGAGATACGCATAGAACAAATACAACATTGTGCTAGAATAACAAAATAAATGCATTTTATTGCTCAAGTTCACAGAGTCCCACAAATGTGCTTAGGAAATTTTGTATGCAATAACCAAATAAAACTGCTTATCAAAATTAAACCAGGGGTTAACTTCAAATATATTTCCAACTTATTAAGTAAATCAATTCCGCCATATCTTTAAAATAATGAAAATATCATTAGATTTATTTAAAATCATTTTTTTTGTGGAATCTGTTTTTTTTAAATTATTTTTTAAGAGTCTTTTAATTTTCCAATTGTTTTTATACATGTTTTTTTTATACATCACATCGTTGAAATTATTTTATTTAATGTCAAATAGAAAATATAATAAATAATTTATAATAGGTGTGGCAACAACTCAAGCTTAATATTATGGCAGCACACGAACTAAAATCGTTCTCCCATTAAATCTTCATATTCATGAAGAATGTTTTTACACCAAGAGTATTAGAAATTGTTCAAGTTAACACACTTTTTGTTATCCCTGTAATAAACAAATATAAGAATTAGCCAATTTAACCCGTTATGCTGTATTTATGCTTATGATGAGAATCTATTTACAATGAAGACGCAAAGAACAAATTCATTCACAAATAGAAAATGTATCTCAGTTGATCCAAGGTCCCTTAGGCCGTAAATCAGAGTGGTGAAAACTCGCGATAAATACTAGAACAACAATAGCAGCTGCCCACATGCAATTGTTTGCTTGAATGATTTTCACAATTACCATAATTAAAGCGGAAGAAAAAATTAAAATCACTTTGGATTTTAACTAGGCGACGGTGTGTAAGTTTAGTTAGCTGTATTTAAGTATTATATAGACGGGTTATTCCCCTGGATCTGGCAATAAATACGCTCGTGCCTGTGTAGAGTAGGGGATTTTTTTTTGTTGTCGACTTGTGTGCCTTAAATACTTGCTAAATGCAAAAGTCAAAAAACAAGAAAGAAACAGGCATACGCACGACTCGGGAAAAGTACCCACCGATCGGCTTCAGTTGTTCATATGGAGCGATCGGACAATGTCGAGGAACGCGCTTGAAATTTGCCTAAAGTGTTACGAGATAATCGTGGATAATGGCAGTCGAATCGAGTGTGATAATGTGCTGTGCGGACGGTTTTGCCATCGCAAATGCTCGACGTTAAGTGAGGATCAGCTTAAAGTGCTGGATATGGTGCCCAATTTGAAGTGGAAGTGTGACTCCTGTCTGGGCAGGTTGAAAACTGGATCGAAAATGAGCCAGTGGTTAGAGAACGCCTTGCGGGAGCACGAAAAACGATTGGAGATCCTAGAGCAGGGCCTAGAAAAGTGTAAGAAAAAGTTGTTAAAATATATTCAATACTTTCTTTCATACAATTAAAATTTTTGTTACCTTAAAATACAATATTTTATTTTATCAAAAGGAAATTTTGTACTTTAAGGTACAAAATATTGATATCCTTGCGATGATGTTTTAAAGATTTTCAAGAAAAGTAGTATTATAAAATTATTGTTATTATTTTATAGCCTTGCATATCAATTAAATAGTTGTTTAAACCAATATTTTCAGAAAAGTTTTCCCAAAGAACAACCCAAAAAAAAAGAATACCCATAAAATAATAAAACATTTAGTTTTTACTTTATGCAAAAATATCTTTATATAAAGAGCCCTTACTATTAAAAATCTCATAGTACTTTGACCAAATGTTCTAAGGTTTATCTGAAAATTTTATAAATTTAAGAACATGTAAGCAGAAATTATAGGAATCCTACCGCAATTTCCTATTTAATTTTAAAAGAGAGATGACCATTAACTTCTTCTAAAGACCCTTTACTAACCCACATTTTTACACCCATTTTGCAGGTTCCAAATTGGATAATCCGGCGCAGACGCCACCTCTCTGCCCCTTTCTGCCCAACACTATTGGGCGCAAGGCCGTCACAATAACGGTGGTTTTCGTGCTATTGACCACTCTGCTGGGCATCGTTCTGGCCACAACAACCAACCTCTTCGGCAAGACGTTGAACCAAAGTAAGATCGGCGATGTCGACGATTCCAGACCAAATATTCCAATCAATTCAACAATAGGTACAGTTTTGTCCCCCACTAAGTGTGCAAAAGTGCTTCCGACTTATCCAGAATCGAATTGGCGACCGTGCTCTAACATATCCTATCTCACCAACTCAACCAGCATGTAAATAACCCATCCTGTTCTCATCCTGTATATAACAACTCATTGGGGAAAATGTGTGTCTATGTGTGTCGGTGCATTATCCATCTAGCTGTTCGAATTGCGCGTTTCTGATCGCTGGATCAGTGTTGTGAAGTGAACCATGAATCAAAAGTGTGGCCTACAGTTCAATTGAATGGAATATGCCAGTGAATCCAATTTAACCCGCCAAACAATGATAGTTTGACCAAATTTTAAAAATGAAGAACTTTTTTTTATGTTTAGCGTATATTTTTCTTGTAAATGGGTTATTTTAAAGAGTTATTTTTGTAATACATTTCCTGCAGCCAAATTAATAGAAAAGAATAGAATAAAACGAATGTCTAGTTGATTCTGTTGATCAATCGTTTTAAAAATGTTTGAATCAAATATGAACAGTAATTCACAATAAGAAATTGATGGCTTGCATCAATTTAAAATTCCCAATATTTTGAAGTCAACTTAATTCTTATTAAGGGTCTTTATTTTTGAAATGGTCACTACCATTGTTCTGACGGCTTCTGTGCCATGCTAACCCCAAACTTTAAATGCAGCCAACTCGGATGTCGTCGAAAATGGCACCTTGGAACTCTTGAAGGTGGCCCAGTGGGGCGGCAGGCCGGCCAAGAAAAAGCTCGATGAGCAGGCGCTGCCCGTCAACCGGGTTGTCATCTTGCACACCGCCGCCGAGGGCTGCGAGTCGAGGGTAAGTTGGTCCCCCCCCATCCCATGTCCCGTCCATCCATCCTGGTTATTATATTAACACTCACATTCCCCATCGAAGGAAGTCTGCTCCGCGCGGGCAAAAGTTGTCCAGGACTTTCACATGGACAGCTGGAACTGGGATCATGTCGGCTACAACTTTCTGGTTGGCGGCGATGGGCGTGTGTATGAGGGGCGTGGCTGGGACTATGTGGGCGCCCACACTAAGGGCTATAATGTTGGCAGCATTGGGATATCCTTTATTGGAACCTTCACAAGGAGGAAGCCCGAGGAGCGGCAACTGAAGGCCTGTCAACTGCTGTTGGAGGAGGGTGTTCGGCTCAAGAAATTGACACCCGACTACCGGCTCTATGGCCATCGTCAACTCAGCGCCACGGAAAGTCCCGGAGAGGAGCTCTACAAGATTATCCAAAAGTGGCCGCACTGGTCGCACAAAATCTAATAAGTCATGTATTATATAATATGTATCAAGTAAATAGAGTCTGTAGAAATATGACCAACAGATGCACTTTATTTGACCTCATTCCCTCACCTATCCCCTTCAAAAATTTTGAAAAGGAAGCAAATGTGTTCTAGTGGTTGAGTTGAATGGAATAATCGGCTGTTCGTTATGCATTAACCTTTTTAGGAGACATATAAAGCAGGCATGCAAGCCATAGTTTGTTTATTTCCTATTTCATACTTAAAGTTTACAACTTCATCATTACTTTACTTTTATTTGATATACCTACAAATAATTCAGAAGTTTCTAGTCTACTTTTTTTCTAGAATGTAGATTTAACTGCGGATAAGATCGCCAAGAAATCTATTTTGTATGAAACATAAAGGTTTTATTATGTTTTTTTTTATTGATTAGATTTTTTTTTTGTTTGCCGTTTTAAATTGTTATAGTTTTATTCTGGCATTAAGTGAATGCCTTTTTAAAAACTGTTTCCTAAACGGTTTTGCATTCCTTCCTTTGGAAAACTCCCACGGTTAACTAAAACAGCTGATCTTTTTAAACCAGCCGATGATTCCGAAGTCCATGTTGACGGAAAACTAGTCGTGATCGGGATAAAGAGTTGGAATGGCTTGGCCACTAGGGGAACACTATCCCCTCTCAATCTCCCGGTCTCCAGGATTATAATCTCCGATACTCAGACCGAAATTTGTGAGACAAGGGTATGTAAATGGAATATACATATTTTATTTTAGGGAACCACTTAACAATCGAAGAACGTTCTTATTTTCCATTTAGGAATCCTGCTCCTATTGGGCTCGAGTCACCCAGAGCAGGCACATGGACAACTTTAACTGGCCTCAATTGGGATACAATTTCCTAGTGGGCGGCGATGGACGTATTTACGAGGGGCGTGGCTGGAACTACGAGGGCGCCCATACGCGGGACAACAACAACAACAGCATCGGTATTAGCTTTATGGGAAAATTTCAACGCAACGAACCATCGCAAAAATCATTGGACGCCTGTCAGTTGCTTATTGATCAAGGTGTGCGCCTTAAAAAACTGAGGCTCGACTACCAACTTTTGGGACATCGGCAGATAACAGGCACCTTAATGCCTGGCGAGGCGCTCTACAGGATCATCCAGACTTGGCCGCACTGGCTCAACTTGACAAAGACGGGACCCGACCTACATATGACCCAATAGATTAGATATTTAGATTTAATCAAATTAAGATCGAATAAAGGTGCCAAAAACTACACTTTCTGAACCTTTTTTATTCGAAAAATTTTTCGTTGATTGGGCTTAGACTTTAATCTCTAACAATAACACCAAACAACTCATAAAAACAACAGTTTATGGCATTAATTAATTTTTATTAATTTAAAAAGATTAATTATAATTAAAGAGTATGCTGAGTAAGAATTTAAATATAAAAGGAAGCTCGATATTTATAACATAATGGGTTATTGGTCCTAACAGTCTTTGGAAGAATAGGCTTAAATTTAAATAACTTGGTAAATGGCCTACTAAAATTCATATAACAAATGTTTATAACAAATATTTAATTATTTTCCTTTAACAAATGCCGCTTAAAATTACCTAACAAATATTAAAAAATGTATGTTAAATCAAAGATTATATAACTAAAAACTAAATCTAGCCCTCATTAATCCACAGATCTGGACAACATTGGTGGCGGCTTGATACTGCGATTTGTGGAGCGTCAACAATGGCTCGCCCAGCCGCCGCAGAAGACGGTACCGGATCTGCAGCAGCCGGTGAAAATGGTCATCGTCCTGCCCACCAACTCGGACAATTGCACCACCCAGGCGCAGTGTGTGTTCCGAGTGCGGCTGCGTCAGTCCTTCGACATTGAGTCGGTGCAGGAGGACGATATAGTCTTTAACTTCCTGATCGGCGGCGATGGCAATGTGTACGTCGGGCGTGGCTGGGATCAGGTGGGCGCCCACATGCCAGGCTATAACTCGAAGAGTCTTAGCTTGGCCTACATCGGATCGTTTCAGACCCTCAAGCCGTCGGACAAGCAGCTTAGCGTCACACGTCTTTTGTTGGCCAAGGGAGTGAAGCTGGGCAAACTCGATCCCAACTACCGACTCACAGCGGCCAGTAAGTTGGAGCCAAGTTTGACCCAGTACAAGGCGGATGCCCTCTACCAAAGCTTCGGCAATTGGACTCATTGGTCGTAAATAGTTTTCTATAGTACATATATGCGCAGCTTCAATTTATGGATGTTCTCATTCAATTTTGTCTTGATATTGTAGCATAGGTGTTCTCTCTTTAATGTGTGGCATATTTGATTTAGCTAGAATTACGATTCGTTTGAAAAAAATGTGATATTAAATAAAGAAAAATAATAACATTTGATGCATTTTAATCATGTCAAGGGGTCAAAATCTGGCTGATAACTGGAATCGGGGATTTTTCTTAGGTGCCGCCGTCTGAAGCTGTTCGAAACCGGAAAAGGTGACTTACAAACCATACATACATATAAGATGCCGTGCTATCTAGGTTTTCGTCTTTCATTTCGTTGAATAAGTCTTTTTGGGGGACTCCCCACTTTTTTAAAGTCTACCTGTTATCTATTATCTGCCGCTGCTCGTTTGCTTTGAGCGATTACGACAAAAAAAATTAATCAACAGCGTTAAAAAGAGATATATTATAATTAATCAACAACTGAAAATTCTAAATTCCTTGCCCCGAAACTGATCTCAATTATAAACTATAGGGCTTGATCAGGTTTAAATATGGATATTAATATTTTCATGGTTATTACAATATCTTCTCTTAAATCTATGGTGTTTACAGTTTTAAATAAACTTACAGTTCAATTTAACTATTAAATATGATCAAGAAAATAATAAAATAATTAATTTTTAGATTACATACAAATACAAATTCTTCAGAGATTAAATAATATATAAAACCGTAAGTAAACAATTCTGAAATAAATGAAAACACTGATGCTGACTGAATAAATAATACATAGAAAATAAGGAAATACAAAGCTTTTTTGCAAGGTAAATACATATATATTATCAATATATGGCTGACTGATCTCAGTCCGCATTCTGCTGTTGTTTTGAATAGGTTTCAGTCTGTTATTCCAAAAATGGCAGATCTTGAGTTGAACGGCCTTGAAGAAAATCGGGAAAAGAGAGTGAAAATCAAGCGGCTTTACTTGGTAGCTTTCCTGATTCTTTTCTTAACCATTCCAGTTGGCTACTACTTTTGGAAGAGAAGTAAGTGTGAATCAATAAATGAGCTTTGCATCACAAATGCTTATCAGTTTAGCTTAGGTCACAGAAACGATCTCTATATGATCGATCGTGAAGAGTGGGGAGCTAAGGAACCCATATCCAGGGACTATTTAAATCTACCAGCTCAAAACGTGGTTATTCATCACACAGCCACTGAACAGTGCCAAACAAAGGTATTATGCATAGATAAACAACTTCAACTTGATAAGAATTAAATTATATTTTATAAATGATGTTCCTAGGATGATTGCATACACCGCGTGCATAGTCTGCAAGACTTCCACATAAGGAGCATATATTGGAATGATATTGGCCATAATTTTCTTGTGGGCGGCGATGGACAGATTTATGAGGGGCGTGGCTGGGATGTACGAGGTCAGCCATTGAGGGGCTACGAGTCCGTTTCCATTAGCATTGCATTTATTGGAACTTTTACAAATGTGGAGCCACCAAAGCAACAGGTGGAGGCTTTGAAACGGCTCATGCACGACGGAGTTCGGCGAAAGAAGTTGCACCCAAATTACATGATCTATGCTCAGCGTCAATTTGAGCCCACTGAAAGTCCTGGCCAGAAACTTTACGAGCTTATGAAGCAGTGGCCCCGCTGGTCAACCATTATGAAGCACATTGATTAAATGCCTAAATAACTTTAATATAATTGCTACTAAATTTTTACAAAATATTAAGAGAAAAATTTCTTTCCCTCCTGGCAGGCAGATACAGTAACATTAATCAATGAATAAAATATTTAGTTTTAATATTAAATCAAACAGACACTAAAAATAAGAATAATTGTATAATATTTTCAGACTTAAAGATTTTCTCTGCCGGATTACATGTCCATACTGAACTTCAGAGGAATTTTTTTGTTTTTTTCGAAATAATCCTTCTTAAGATATTTCAGCAAGTTTTACACAAAAAAATCAATCTCAAATTAATAGATTATAGAAATAAAAGAAAAGCTAAAAGAAAATGAATTTTGAAATGAACACAAATAATAGAGCTAAATTTATATTTATATTTCCAGTAGGCTTTTGTTCCTTTAAACCAGAAAACAACATGACTTGTGAAGTTGCTCTAGCTTCGTTAAAGCCTGCTAAATAGACCTAAAAACAAGTATACGCCCCCTTGACAAAAGGGGATTCCCATTTCATGCACTGCTCGCTACCATCTAAGATCTCTTTCTAATCTCAAGTGGGCGGCGTTAAGAGATCACCCACCCTGCTGCCAAAATAGGCACCCTGTATAAAGCTCTTAAAGCTTAAAAATATAAATTTATTTATAGGCATGAATATGTCTTATCGGAGAGCTTTCGAACTGCGCTGCCACTGCGCAGTCTTGAGTGTCGGGGGATTTTTTTCAGACGCCAACAGAAATGAACAACAATTAGGCCAGCTTTTTAATGGGTCCGGCTCAAATCAGTTGGCATCGGATTTTCGTCTGGAGAGGTTCAATGGTGACAGGGTTCAATCAATAAAGTTTAAAATGCAGAAAACCGTGGTAAATGATCTCCCAGAAGAGCCGAGTATCAACGTGAAAAGATTCCCCCGCGAGCTTCTCTATCTCTGTGCGATTCTCCTGATGCTGGTGGCCCTGGTAGCCGGATATTCCCTGTGGATGATGAGTGAGTTGCCTTAGATGATCGGAAATGGATGGAAATATAATTCCCAATTCAATTGTTAACCTGGCTTAGCCCAATCCACGAGTGCTACGTACAAAGGTTTGCACATATTAGATCGCAGCGAATGGCAGGGGGAACCACCGAGTGGAAAGTACCCGCACCTAAAGCTGCCCGTATCCAATGTGATTATCCACCACACGGCAACCGAAGGATGCGAACGGGAGGTGAGTCTTAAAGAACTTTGTTACAAATAGTTTATTATTCATTTTAATTTTAACTGTTTCATACTGGTTTTTATCCTTACCTTATTAAGATAATCCCCTTCTTAATAAAACCTTTTTAGATACATACTTTTTAATTGATATATTATTTAAACTAAAAAGTTTCTTTAAGAATTTTCTCATCTGTACAAGTCTTTAGTCATTATTCTACTGGGAAACCCCCATTAAAAAACCCAAACCATTAAAGCTTAAAAAAACCCAGTTTGGTTAATTTTTGTATGCCATAAGCAGACAGAGTTTTTCACCTTTTCTCCCACTATCTTGAACTAATTCTCATTTTTAAAGTGCTTTGGCAAATATTTATTAACCTAAAAAGAGAGTCAATAGCACTGACTTTCATACTTATGTGTTTTTCATTATTTTATATTTTCTTAGGACGTTTGCATATACCGCATGCAGGTCATCCAGGCATTCCACATGAAATCCTTGGGCTGGGTCGACATTGGCTATAACTTCCTGGTGGGCGGCGATGGTCAGATCTACGTGGGTCGCGGCTGGTACATCCAGGGTCAGCACGTCAGGGGATATGGCGCCATATCGATCAGCATCGCCTTCATCGGAACCTTTGTGAATATGGAGCCACCGGCTCGTCAAATTGAAGCGGCCAAGCGACTGATGGACGAGGGTGTACGACTGCATAGGTTACAACCGGATTATCACATCTACGCCCATCGCCAGGTTAGTCCCACCGAGAGTCCTGGCCAGAAACTATTCGAGCTGATGAAGCACTGGTCCCGCTTTACGCCCGATGTAACTTCATGTAAGGAAACTGAAAGATAGAAATGATTTGAAGGTGTTTTATTTAAAAAAAAAAAACTCCTTTTAGTGCGCCTCCTAAGCAATTCCAGCTTGAAGTTCGTTACCCGACCATACTGGCTAGCCCAGCCACCCACAGTGGCACTCAATCCACTTCAACTGCCCGTTCAGAGCGTGAGATTCGTGGCCACCAATACTCAAACGTGCTCCACCCAAGCGGAGTGCATTTTTCGAGTACGCTTGCTGCAAAGTCTTCACATCGAGAGCATTGGATATAAGGATATTAACTATAATTTCGTGGCGGCTGGAGACGGCAACATCTACGAGGCCAGGGGTTGGGATCACAGCTGCGAATCCTCGAAAGATGCAGATGAGCATCAGGTTGCCAAAGAACTTGTCGTGGCCTTTATGGGCCCTTCAGGTAGCAATAAAAAGCTAGCCCTAGAACTAATACAACAGGGCATTAAACTGGGGCACATAAGTAAGGATTATAGACTAATAGACGACTCAGAAGAATCTTAGAAAACCGGAAGCAGAGGGAAGAAGCTTTAAGCAGTACCATCCCTGTGCCATCTTTCAAAGTGATACTAGTTTAAGAACTATAAACAACTTCGAACACATCTCATATCGAATACTTCACAATTTAAGCAGCATTTGTAGAAATAAACATGCCTTTATTGAGTTTCAACAGCTGCTATCTTCTATATCTCATTTGAACGACTACGACTAACATTTTTGAAAACATATTGCGATTCGTTTTTGATTAAAAAAACCCTGACTGGCTTCTACTTAACGATATATACAGATGACACACTTTGTGCTTACAACAATTGGCTAAATGAAATTCGTAATTGAAAATTTGGAACGCGAACATGGCTACTACATAAAACTTAGAAAATTAGGCTACAGTTAGTGAGACGATCATCCAATTGCAGAGGATTTGGTTTAATGGTCCAAGATGCGCATGTTGCCCGACACGATCTTGTTCTCCAGAATGGCACCGGCTGGGATATCGATACGATCGCCATGGTTGGCAATGATGATCACAGTGCCCTGCGGAATCGAGTTAAAAAAAAGTAAATTAAATTAGAAGACATCAAATACAAGGGCATTTGACACACGTACGCGCAGGGAAACACCACGACCGAAGGTCACATCTCCGCTCACGGTCAAGTGATCCAGCTCAATGATGTCCGGGATGTTGGCGAAGCGACCCAGGAACTCCTTCACCTTGGAGAAGTGGTTCTCGCCCAGCTTGACGAGCGGCGTGGTGGGGAACATGCGCTGCGGCGACATCACCAGGCTGCCGTTCTTCAGGGTGTACAGATTCGACATGACCAGCAGCAGATCCGACGACTTCTTCACGGGCAAGAAACGCGAGCGGGGCACATTGCATCCGATGGCGCCGTCGAAGCACTTCATGGCCGCACCCACAGCAGTCTCCAACTGAATGACACGAGTTCCATTCTCGAGCGTCTTGTTGTTCACAATGATCTCCATGTTCAGGGTGCGCTCACGTAAAACGCGATCAATTGCTAAGGCAGGCAAAAAGAAAGCAGAATTTTAGGCTTTCCTTTAGGATGAATGACATGTATAGTGGACTCACCTGCCAGGTTGGCCCAAATGTTGTTGGTGTTGAAGAACTTGAAGGTCTTCACGGACTTGAAGTCATCCACATGCTCTGGAGGCACCTGGGCGATTTCCAGCAGGCGCAGCTTGTTCTCCATTTGAATGAGAGTACCACCCTAGATGGAAGATAGAAACAAATACATTTTACAATAATCATGGTATTTACTAATCTTGTTTAGAAAATATGTACAATTTATTTAACAACGAACAATTTTTGGTATTTAAAAAATTTCTTTCGGTTTTCAGACTAAAAGTTTTTACTCGATTTGGGTACCTGTTCCTGTTTCCACTCAGTTTCTTCAAAATAAACTCAAATCTAAGGTGAGTTTGGAATGAAATGAGACACAAAACTCTCCAACTTAAAAGGACATGTATATAAATTCTAGCAGCTATAAATAGTTCTTAATTTTCAGCTTTAGTTAAAAGAAAAAAAATATATATAGAAACAACTTATAAGAATCATTTTTAGGAGAATAAAGGGAAATTATTTTGTATGTTCTTCTCCATTAAAGCTTTTACTTCATCTAATTTAATTATATCCCACCTTCACGTCAGCACGGGTCTTGTCGGTGACCTCCATGACAAACTCCACTGGGGTAGTGGCCCGCTCCTCGCCGACCAGTTTGTTGAGGATGTTCAGGTCGACGGTGGCGCCCAGGTTATCGATGTTGGACAAGAAACAGTACTCGCGGCCCTCCTCGATGAACTTCTTCAGCAGACCAGAGTTGCGGAAGGTGTCGTAGAAGTCACCGTGACCAGGTGGATACCAACTAAGAGCAGGAATTTATATCATCAATTTAAGATATTAATCATTCCAAAGATTGTAAGAACCCACGCCTCCATATCCTTTTCGACCTCAAAGTCCTTGGCAACCGGCAGGTAATGCTCGCGACTGATGCGCGGGAAGCAGCTCTGGTTGAAGGTGTGGATCTGCACCCGGAAACCCTTGTACTTGCGCACAATCTTCTCGGTGTCCTCGTCGGTGTTGAAGGAGTTCATCAGGACCAGCGGCACATTGGCATCGTAGGTCTTGTTTAGGTGCTCGATTTGCTGCACGGTCAGATCGAGGAAAGTCAAATCGGATCGCACGGGAATCACACTCTTGGGACCATGGCAACCCATCGAGGTGCCCAGACCGCCGTTCAGCTTGATGACCACCAACTTGTCCAGCATGTTGCGGATCTAAATTCAAATCGAAAGCATTAGTACAAACATTCTTTAAACATTAAACGGGGTGGTATGTTAGAGAGCAGAGGAATGAGTTAAGCAGAAGTGATAGCCGAATTTCATTAGGGTTTTATACTACAGCGCAGTGCTTACAAACTAAGGCAAAACTAATAACAAAACAAGGTCCAAAATCTAAACAAAGCGTCCAAAGCCCAATTAGGTTAGATTCGAGCCATGTTCTCAAGAGACACAGAGCAGAAGCGAGAAATATATCGAGAGTAAGAGTAAGAGTAAGAGTGAGAGCCGTGAAGCATAGAAGTTTAGGTAAGGGAAAACGCTTTACCTCATTCTAGGTGCGATACACACGATTATGCATAGTATTTATAGGCAGACATAGCCATATTCAGTATTCAGTATTCAAATCAAAGAACATGAAAGTATGCAAAGTTGGTAAAACAAATTAAGAGAGTTGTAATATCATCAGGATGAGTTTCGATTCGGTTTTTTTGTTTTCGGTATCGAGATGTGATTCATTGGCGGGATAACTTGGAGTTTTGTTGGGGTCTGAAGACAGGCCCTCTGCATACCTGCTCGTTCTTGGGCGCCTTTAGATTCGAGTAGTTCATCACGGCGTTTTCGGGCAGCTTCTGGATCTTGTTCCAGTCCAATGCGGGACCCTCTGCAATGGATAAATATATATATAACGTTGTTACTGCCATGTATGTTATGCTCTAATAGGACTTACCCTCCTGGATAAAGCGTCCGAAGAGATCGGCAAAGCGTCCCATTTCAGCCTTGAGAGCAGGCTGGCGGGCCAGTTCCGTGGTCGCCAGCAGACGGTCCACATCGTGCTCCAGCAGCCGCAGGGCATCCCGCTTGGTCACCTCGTGGAACTCCTTGGAGTCCGATGGTGCTCGCTGGTGGCCGCGCACCTATTAAAAAATCATCACATCACACAGAAACGCCATGAGTTACACTTGGAGAAATTTTAGAGCCGCATGGACCATTAGTGTGGCCAGCAAAGCGCATCTGCCAGATGCACTCAAGTGACAAAATTAGTGAAGGAAACGCTGACAAAATTGCTTGCTATTGCTATTGCTTGAGCTGTTGTAAGTCCAATTACAAGCTTGGGCTGCCACCCAGACGAGGGCGTTTCACAAAACACCAACAAGACACTGGCGACGTCGGCGACAGTTTTGCCCCAAGCCTTGCGATGACAACAAGTCGCTGGCTGCTACTCAGTTTGCTACTCTATTTGGGCGGCCAAGAGGCCTCCACGGGTGTGGTTGAAAACTTCAGTGATGGCCTGAAAATGGCCGGACAAATGTTTGGCATCAATACGGCCGCGGATGTGGCCAATCTGGTGGCCAAAGCCTTTGCCGGCAATTCGATGACTAAAGTACCCAATCTCGTGGGCTATGTGCAGAAAACTTTTCAGGGTGCGCAGGAAAACAAAAACGATGATGATGAGGACCAAGCGGAGGAATTGGAAACGGAAAGTGCCCAGGAAGAGCCACCGGTGGAGAACAGCAACCGCAGACCACCTCCACTCTCCTTCGACACAGGGCAAATATTCACGAATATGCTAAGGATGGTGGGATTTGACACACGCAAAATTGGAGCCCTAGCTTTGAATGCCTTGATCATGATTGCCCAGGCGGTAAGCTTTGTCCTTCGAAATTTTATTGCTTAACTTTAACGATGATACTCTCATTAGATTGGCGGCTCCCTAATGCAGGCCACCCGAGGAGGCGGTGGATCCTTGGTAGATGCCTCGACATCGCTGTTCGAGCCCAGCGACCATCGACCGCGTTCTCTGTCCATGAGTTCGCCAATCGATTGGTTTATGCAACGCAATGACCGACATAGCAAAGGACTAATCAAGGATATCATGGATCGGGATCTGCCCGAATACATTGTGGATATGATCGAGGCGAAGGAGAAACCGGAGGAAGGACAGAATGCTGGCTGTCTGAAGCTTCTCATGTGCAAGGGCAAACCCATAATTTGGGGAATGCAGGAATCGCTGAAGAAACGTCTGGCTGGTGAACCCGAACCACAAGAGGATTTCGATAGCTACTTAAACAAAAGAATTTTCTTTAAGTATTTGCCCAGTCTTGAGGATTTCAGGGTGCATAGTGCTAATTGTGAGACAAAATACCATGAGGAATGCCCTAAGAATGCAACAACCGGAAGTTTTTTTTAGGATAACTAAATAATTTGTTTTAATTTATTTTGGGGGAGGATAACAAAAAATAGAATAATATTTCATTCCCCTACGATTTGGTATTATATTTTAAATTAATTGATTAATTGATTTGATACCAAAGAAGTTATCCACAAAAGTATTGCTTTTAATAGTTTTTTATATAAACTTATTTTATACACAACTAAGTTCTTTGAAAATAAATATTGTGAAAAATTGTTATTTTTATTTCAACAAATATTTATAAAATACAGAAATCCTATGTATATTATAGAATGTTTAAAATTAGTCTGAACAATTTTCCACTAATCACAATCAGTGAACCGAACAATACCCGACTGTTTAACTGTTTAATGATGAATTCGACATTCCGATGTAGTGAAGGATGATTAAGGAGATAAGTTTCAATCCGACAATCAAATTTCAGCCTAATGTTCCATGAAACGACCTCTAAAGATGCAACTGCCCTGGCAAGTTGTGTAATAATTTGCAAAATCGCAATGTTGACAACTACCGGCTCCTTTATTATCACCTTTGGCTGATAACTAATCTTGAGGTATTATAAAACCTCACCGCGGCTTTACTATTTCAAGTTATAATCACTTAATCTGGGCGTTCGTCCAGTCATGTACCAATAATTACTACGTCACATTGATATATCGAAAGCGTTGCTTGATAATTCAATTTAGATTTTACCATTAAGAAAGTACTGAGGGCGATGAAATATGGGTCAATCAACTGTGGTAACTTGCTAAAAAAATACTGTTTTTAGACGTTCTGTAGTCAGGTACCTGCTTATCGATGATTGGCTTGGTAATAATGATTTGGATAATATTCAATCATAAAAAAGGCTATTATTGTTGCGTAAATATTTACAATTTATGTATGGTTTTGACATTGAAATTCAGACAAGGTTGTGGCACAAGCATTTGCGGATAGCAACGCCAACATTTTAGTGGTAAACAAAGCTCAAAATCCAAACAAAAACATTGGGAAGCAAAGAGACTCCACAAGACAGCTGAAGAAAAGCGCCACCTACCGTTCGGATTGGCTTCAAGCCTTGTCAATCAAGGCAGACAAATGCATTTGGCTTATGCAAAATAATTGCCGTAATCGCTTTTATTTTTGCTATTTACTTTTCGTAATCATTACGCAAAAGGCGGTATAATGAGCAGAGGGTAGAGTGAAAAACACGTGCCACGCCCACGGCGCCTACGACGATGCCAGACGATTGCATGTGGGTTATTTATAAAACAACCGCACTTGCCGCCGATGAGCCATTCGAGCCCCATTTGAGATAAGCCAAAGTCAGAGGGCAGGTGTTTGAACTTCGGCAAGGTCAACATGCTCAAGATAATTTGCTAACGTTTCATTGATGCTTCTTTTGGCGCCGTTTTGTATTTTGGTAAAAGGCTTATGCAATTCATAATGGATTCATAACTGGAATATCTCAAAGATCCGCAGAAGCAAAATACCATATACTCGTAGTATGTACGGGTATATTGTGTTCCCACTTAAGTATGTAACAGAAAGCAAAAATAAATGGTAAGAAATAGAAGAATAATATTGTTCATATCCGCAATAGCTTGCCACCTAATACATTTTATATATAGATCGGATGACATTTAGTTATTTCCAAAAATGCAAAACCAATTGTTCTATATATTGAAGTCCAGTTAAAAGCCTGTCTGAATCCGGTAATTAAAGTAAATTAAATAATTTTTGCCTGTGTTTTATTTGGTTTCTCAGATAAGATACGAATTCAGTTCCAGGTAAGGAAGTGCCAAACAATTGGCAGAACATCTCAATTAATGAGATCTGATTGTTACAAATAAAAAACGTTGTCTTGGAGAATTCAGTTGTTCTTCCGAAACAAATGAAATTTTGTGATTACCGGACATTAGAAACACGTCTCAAAAGAAATAGAGCAACACACAAATATGTTTTTGTTTTTATTGTAGGTCGCAAGAACTGATAACATTTCGAATTTACGCGTTAAATATATTACATGATACGAAGTTATTTTACAGAGGTGTGTTTGACATAATTTAGAGGATTTTCTATAGACCGGCAATACATATTTTTGGAAAACCAAAAATTTGCAATTAAACTTCCCGATTCAGTGGAATTGGTAGGAAGCAATTAGCTGATTTTTACAGAGTTTTCCGATTTAAAACACATTGACTTTGCTGCAGTTTTTAGAGATATAAAGTTAACCCATTGAACTTGGCCCAAATATCGTATTACGAAGGTAGTCTCGGTAGAATTTAGAGAACTTACGCCGGCGCGCTCCAGCAGCACATCGATGGGTCTTATACCGGAGGGCATTGTGAACTATGGAGCACTACTATAAAAATATATCTCACTGCGAGAATCGGAATCTTAACTTTTTAAGTGTTTCGCGAAGCACTCGCGGCAAGAACGAGAGAAAAGAACGCTAAGAGCGGAGAGACGCGAAACGAAAAACGAAGCTCGCTGGTCGAGTGTGCAATTGAAAATAAAGCTGGGATCCAAACGAAATTTGAATTTCAATACAAAATTTTTCCAACACGCGGCGACGCCGACGTTGACGTCGGCAGCGACAGAACAGCAATGAAAACGCGGCGACAAGTGAAGTGAAGCAAGCAGCAACAAGTGATAGCGAAATACAAAAAAAAACTAAAGAGGGAGCTTCTTAGGTACGGCAAGTCGAAGATTAAATACCTTTGCTTAGTAAACATTTACATGAATATTTAATAAAAATTCGAAGCAATGCCAAATCAATCTAGGTTTGATAATTATAAAATTAAAAAAGGAATTCTTGGATCACTTAAAACTACTATAACCTGCAAGTGACATACAATTATTTTCAAAAAATGTTGAGGAATTTTAATTCTATTATTCCTAGACCATTTGCTCAAATGTTAATCGTTAGATAAAACAATGGTTAGGTTTGTGTTCAGCGGAATTTAAAAGCAACAAAGTTACGTTAATTTTCTTTATGTCCAAAATAATAACATCCTCTGTTAGGGTATTTAAAATACAACGGCTGATGCGGCCAGCATGTTTGTGTAAGTTTTGAGCACAACAAAAATTAAACAAAAGAAACAAGTGGAAACAACAAGCAGCAGAGAGCCGCGGGCGCTTATCACTAAAATAAAAACAAACCGTTCACTGATTCCACAACTACATTTCCAGGGGCATGTTCCAGTGATAAGAGCACAGCAGATATATTCCATGATTATTCCAACTGACAACAAATACTAAGCTAATTTTTGGCTTCCCAAAAAGAAACACACGCACACTTACAAACACATCACGCTGAAGGCGACACACGCCCGTACTTAGAGGTCAAATGAAGGTTAGCGCTAAGCAAGTGCAATACATAAAGCAAAGAAAAAAGCAAAAAACCAGTCAAGAGGGCAACTATAACTAAGGAAATTGGCCCATAAACAGAGCCCGACTGGAACCGGCAAAATGCGTTGCATACAATACACTGGAATGTGCAAGCTGCACTCACACTAACGCAGCAAGAGTGACTTGGAATGAGAGACCGGAAGTTTTCTTTTTACACCAATTTATAACTGTAAACTGAAAAGCTCACCTTGGCTTCGTGTGGAACATCCAACATTTTTAAAGTTTTTTAATCAATTTGTAATTTGTCACTTAGTAGTATTAGCTTAACAATTAAGCTTCACTAATTTTTCCGCACACACACACAGATAGAGGAACCACACTAAACCCGCAGCTGTATGTGATTAAATAGGTTTTCCCCAAGTTGATTTGGCACTGCCCCGAGCCCACGATACCAACAACAAGAACGCTACGATAATAATTTATTGGACCAATTTTGAAAGATCTCAGCGTTCTCGGCTGCTTCTTCTTCTTCGCCACTCAAAACAGCTGTTGGGTTTGCGCCCAACAGCTCAGGAATTTAACATAACAGCACGCTGTTAACCAATCAGCTGTGACAGCAAAACAAAGGGCGAAACAGAAACCGATAAGCTACGCAAAATTCCAAAAGAAGCCCTACTTTAAAAAGAAAAAGTGAACATTATGGGTATCTGTCTATCCTGCTGCGGCCAAAGTGCCGAGGAAACTAACCTAATGCCATCGCCTGTAAGTTTGGTTACCTCAAGCAAAAACCCTCTGAAATTAGGAGCAAATCTTTGGAACAACCCTATGATTTTTTCAGGATGAGCGCCGCCAGCAACAGTTGGATGCGGCGGAAAAGCGTCGCCAGGAGAATGAAAATCGGGGCATCAAAAATCCGGAGAGCGTAAGACGCCAGCAACAGAAAGCGGAGGAACTGCAGCGGCGGGAAGAGGAGGCCGCCCGCCAGGGTCAAGGACAATCCAATCTAAGGGTGATTTACCAAAAGACCTCATATCAACATTTCCCAATACTAACTAATCGTCTATTTCCAGTGGCAAACGAGCTAAGAGGAGGAAGATCCACATCCTGGTATTGCTTATAAAGCATACCCACCTATTTCCCTCTATGTTAACTGCCCTTTGTCCAGTCCTTTTTGTACTACTCCGTATTTGTACTGTCTATATACCCCCCATATTCCGATCTTATATCTATTCATACACCATCGTCCGAGAACTTTTAGCTGGCGACCAAAAATGTACAACCAAAAATAAAATGAAAACCAAATTGTTATCAGTGATTAGAAAATTGAAAAGAAAAATTGAATACTTTTTCCACGGATTAGTTTGACTAAGTCCGGAAAGTTATATAAATTTTCCAAGTTTATTTTGTCATTCCTGTTTTAAAAACTTTACTATTGTGTTCTACATAGCACTTAAATCTGGAAATAAACTCGTTTTACATATCAAAATCAAATGTAGAAATTTCGACTTTTTAAGAAATTTAAAAACAATATCAGAATTCGATTATTTGTTTTTCTTAGTATCAAGGTGTATATTGTCAATATTTAGTTGTTTTTGACTATATTGGCTTTCGGTATAGTTGCTTTTAAAGTTTTTTCTAAAGGAATTTTTACCATAACATTGTCTATATGTCGAAATGGCATTGTTTTGGAAGTGCAATTTGTGTAATATTCAAAAGTAAGTCAATCAGGCAATTTCAATTAAGCTAGTAAATTTGATTTATTAAAATAATTTTTTTACCCCCATCTAAACTGAATGGTATTAATAATAAAATATATAGAAATTAATATAATAATTTTATGTTATTTTTTGAGTAAGTGATTTTAACCAGTGACCAATTTAGATACATTTTCTGGCTAGGACGATAGTTTTGTACGATGTTTTTTCCCATTTGGGGGTTTCCATCTGGCCACCTGGTAACACTGCATCATGGGGGTGGTGATAAAAGGGGGTGTTGTAATGGATTTGATTGCATTCCAAGGCCGGCCAATGGCGACTTGTTAGTCAATCTCTCTTATAATTTGTTTACGCGAAGTCATCCACTCACTGTTTACACCCGTACTCTCCCCACCCGTGAGTTTGGCCCACTCATCGGATATCAGTTATCAGCTATCAGCTATCAGCTAGAGCTAGAGAAGCTATGAATTCCCGCTCCCTCGCTGATAACATGGTTACGCTTATCTCTGTGTGCGTGCGCGACTTGTAGAAGCAGAGGTAGCTCCGTTCGCTCATTGATCGCCGGTCACTCGACGCGGAAAGTTCCACGGAAAAGCACTGAGAAAATGGCAGAGGCAGCTACTCCGGACATCAAGCGGGTTCTATCCATCCAGAGCCATGTGGTCCACGGCTATGTGGGCAACAAAGTGGCCACCTATCCGCTTCAGGTCTGCCATCCAAATTAATTAAATCCCGGAAAATTCCACTCACTTTTGCTAACTACTTTCTATCACTAGTTGCTCGGTTTCGATGTGGATCCGCTGAACTCGGTGCAGTTCTCCAATCATACCGGCTATAAGACCTTCAAGGGTCCCGTCTCCAACGAGAAAGAATTGGGTAAGGTCAAATATCGTCAGTCTATACATATGTACAAATATATATATATACTTATACGAAGGTACTTTTAACTTTAAGAAACACCTCAAAAACTCGAAATTTGTTTACCATAACTTTAAATTAAAATATATCCTATCATAAAAGACTTTAATCTTGATTATCCAAGTGCTAACTAAATAAAGTACAGTCAAACTTGCATTAACGAATTCCTCTATCATGAAGTCTCTTAAAAGGCTTCTAACTTTAATTCTCCTTAAGTTCTTAAAGTTTTGTAGCTTATGGTGACTTGAGATTTGAAGGTTTTGTATTTTTAAAAGAAGAAAATGTGTATTATAACAATACATAATGTTACTTTAATCTGAAACAGACACCCTTTTAAGCTTTACTGTGATATTAAAACCATAACTGTTACTTTAATCTGCAATCATTACTAACCTTAATCTCATTCAGCTACAATTTTCGAGGGTCTGGAGGAGAACGAGCTGCTGCCGTTGTACTCGCACCTGTTGACTGGTTATATCGGAAATCCCCTGTTCCTGCGACAGGTGAGTCACATTGTTAAGAGGCTGCGACAGGCGAATCCCAATCTGGTGTACGTCTGTGATCCAGTGATGGGTGACAACGGGGAGCTGTATGTGCCCAAAGAGCTGCTGCCCGTGTATCGGGACGAGATCATTCCCCTGGCGGACATCCTCACGCCCAACCAGTACGAAGTGGAGCTGCTCACGGAGAAGGAGGTTCGCAGCGAGTCGGCCGTTTGGGAGGCCATGGATTGGTTCCACAAGCGCGGCATTAAGACGGTGGTCATCTCTAGCAGTGATCTGGGCCAGCCGGGTGTTCTGCGGGCCTTCCTTAGCCAGCTGAATGGACCACGACTGGCCATCGATATACCGAAACAGGGCGGCAAGGATCTGGTCTTCACCGGCACCGGGGATCTCTTCGCCTCGCTTTTCCTGGCCCACAGCCATGTCAGCAAGGATGTGGCCAGTGTCTTCGAGAAAACCATCGCCAGTCTGCAGGCGGTGATCAAGCGCACGGTGGCCGCCCTGCCAAATGGAGGAAACGGTCCCGTGAAGGCTGCCGACCGGGAACTGAAGTTGGTGCAGTCCAAAATGGAGATCGAAAAGCCTCAGGTGCTGCTAAAGGCGCAGCGACTCAACTAAAGCTGGAGGGAAGCCTATCAGATCAACGATTACCTTAAATATATATGTGCTCATTGTACTTGTTCACGGACAATAACCATTTGATACCTTAAGATCGGCATTTGTATGCATTGTTATAACGATATATTATCATCTTAAACCGAGAGAGTGACAAGTTAAGTACCATAAACAATTGAGAACAAACATATGCCTCTGTGCTCATGATGCGGACAAGCTTTGATACCTTAAGTTAAACTTTTATATGCATTATTATAACTATCTATTAGCTATACAAATATATATGTGTGTGACCATTGTAAAACTAAAACTGACAATCTGTTGACATCTCAAAAATCCCAAACGATACGGTTGTTGCCCTTGGCGATCAACAAGTGGCTATATAAGATTGCACTTGGCCGGCGAGAAAAACAAACCCGAAGTAGCAAACAAAAGATATGTGGCTGCCGCTTATCTTTATGGCCTGTCTAGCCGGCGTGAGTGGATCCGTGGGTGGTGAGGGAAAGCCGCCAGTGGAGCAGTCCTTTGTGCCCCGCTACACGCCGCTGGCCGAGAGCAAGCGACAGGATCTGGATTTACCCGCTGAGGGAAGCCTTGACCAGCAGCAGAGACCACCTGCGGGCGACAAGAAACCCTGGCGGAGAGTGGAGTACGGCTACGATGGCGTTTCTACGGCTTCCTGGGCTGCTCCCTCGCCTTCGGCGGCCATCCTCTCCATCCTGAATCCCCTGCTGGCACCGGGAATGCTCCTCTTGGGCGTTAACCTAGGAGCCCTTCTCTACATGCTGCTGGGCCTCCTGGGACTGGCTCCTCATCGAAGCGGCGGCTCCAGCCGGGTGGCCCCACATCCGGATGCCAATCAGCACTTCTGGCCTGACGAGCCAAACTTCTACCGCCGAGACAGACACAATCTGGGTGAGGGCAAGGAAACGGCTGTATATTTTTAGATATAGCGCGTAACGCAAAGCTTTCTTTCAACTTTCTTTATCAAAAAGTATATGGGAAACGTACATAAATAAATTCAAAGGTTAAGAACTGAAAGCGAACTGGCGTAAGGTTTGGAGGGGTTAGTGTACTATCTATAAATATGGTTATAGCTATGTGGTTAACTTGAACATGAACATATGTCTCGGTCCTTCCAGAGGGAGTGGTAAATCAAGGCAAACGCAAGTTGCAACTAACTAAACGATTGGGTGTCCCTTCCTACTTCTTCAAACGAAACGAGGCTGCCCGATTAAATTTGACCAAAGGCGGCTCCTTACTCGCAGATCCTAGGGGCTTTCGCGTCAGCGTGGAGGTGCCTGCAAGGGCTGTCAGAGAAGGCGAAGGAGATTACTATCATCATCGATTGAACCAATCACGTCTGTAGAACTCACCTTTGGCCATCAGCGCTCGAGGACTCTTGCGCACATAGTTGGTGTTGTATTTGACGTTCTCCTTGGCCAAAGAAGCCGCTGCCAGTGTTCTCTGAAGGCCTTGGGCGGTAAAGTGATTCGACTTGAGCAGAGCTGCAATAAAACACAATAGTTATAAAGTTGAAAGTATGAAAAAACTATATAAATATAACTTAACAAATTAATATTACTCGCAGATGTAGAGTTCTCAAATAGCCAAGTAAAATAGTTTACCATCTACAAAATTATTATAACAAGCATAGAAATTTTAAAAGTGTTATTTGATAAGATTGTAGTATGGTTATTGGAAGCACAAGTAAATTGTAAACTTGCCCTTTTAAAGAGAAAAATGGTTTTTAAAAATGTTTCCAAAATATTTTGAAACCAAAACTACCGAATTGGTAGTGCAAAGTAAACAAAAAGTTTTGGAAGCCTTATTAAATCAGTTTTAGTCGAAATAAAATAAAAGTTTTCCCAAAATGATTTATGAATACTTTCTAATACATTTAAACAGTAAAACCCTACCCTTCTTGATCTTCTCGTTGCCGCCGCGAACATTCTGCTCGGATAGCAGATCGCTGACAAGGCGCTGGTGGTTGTTTTTCGGCTTGGTGACCGTCGCTGTGAGAGGTTTCCTGGCACTATTGCTGCTGCTTGGGGGGCCAAGGACCTGCGTCTCGTTTAGATTGCGCGGCCTCTTAAAGGTCAAGTGCAGATCCTCTGTGTCCGATTCGGTGTCCTGGCTGTCGAATTCCTCCATGCTCAAATGCAGATCGTCGTCGCTTTGGGCGGCCTGCCTCTGTCGCTTTTTGGCACTGGCCGTCAGGCTGCAGGATGGCTCCTCCTGCTCTTGGCCGTTGCACAGCTCCGGCGGCACCACCAGCGTATCCATCACGGCCATTTTAGTGTTGGCCTCCGTGTCGGCGAAGCGCATCTTCCGGTGCAACCTTTCGAACACCGCCTCAATCTCTGGCGTCAGCTTTTGTCCATCCTCCAAACGGTCGTGGGTCTGATTGAGCACCTCACAGGCTGCTCGGAAGGACTTGCGCATCAGGTCCAGGTTCTCCACCAGTTCCTGGTTAATGGCGTTCACGTGGCTGTTGAAGATATTCTGCTTGGTCAGCTGCAGTTCGAGATCCTTGTACTTAACGTATACGATGAGGATCTGGTAGGCCTTCGACTTGTTAACCTCTCGCTTCAGACTCTCCAGATTCTGGTAGGCACTCTCCATTTTACTCAGCCAGGCGGGTAACTCCTCCTTGTACTTCTCCATCTGGCTGGTCAGTGTGCTTATGTAGTTTGCAAAGCGCCGATAGTCCTGGAAAATATATATTCAAAATATTAAACATAAAATATATTAAATATTAAACGTCCACTGCAAAGTAGTATACAATGTGAGAAACAAATGCCCCATTTAAAAATGCCTTAAAGGAAAAATAAATTAATAAATAAATAAAAACAATATAAAGTTTTAATTATAAAAGACTTTTTTAAAAATTGATTTTCCTTAACTTTCGTTTTAATGCCCTTAAAGATTGGGTTATATTTAATTTAAATTCACATAATTTTCAATTCACAAAAAAAAATAAATCCAGTAATTGAGGTATGAACCTTTATTCCAAATTAGGCATTTTAAGACACTGTCAATAAAACACAAAAATTGTAACCGTAAGGCAAATCTTAATTTAAAAAAAATCTTTAAGTTAAATAAACAAATTTAAAAAAAATTTAATATATCATTGAAATTATTATATAATTATATTATATTAGATTATTGCAGTTTAAAAGAACTACTTAATGACTTTTAAACAGCCCGCCAACGTAAGCCTTACGTAACGTAAGCAACACTACGTAGCAGGCATTGATACGAATATCAAAAAACAGCTGATGCTGTCCCATCGAAAATCACTGCCGCATTTAATCCAAACAAAATAGCTTAAATTTAAATAAAATGCTGCGAAATGCGGTGCATTTAGCCACCCTAGGGGTGCGCCAGACGCGAGTGACGTGCTGCTTGCCAAGATTACCACTAATCCTGCAGAATAATCCACAAAACGCGATAAATGTGCAAGTGGCGCGCGATTATGCAAAGGGCAAGGACAAAAAGAAGGAAAAAGGCGGCAAGGGAAAACCCGGTGGCAAGGTGGAAATCAACGAGCAGCAGCTACGCGAGATCCTCAACCTGGATGGCCTGAACAGCCAGATGCAGAAGTCCGTGATGCAAATGAAGGACGACTTTGTGAAGCACCTGTCGCTGCGTTCCACCAGCGGTGCCATCGACACGCTGCGCATTAAAGTCGATGGCCAGGAGCACGAGCTGCAGGAACTGGCCCAGATCTCACGGAAAAACCCCAAGACGATTATCGTTAACATGATTGGCTTCCCGCAAACGATTCCCGATGTCCTGAAGGCCATCGAAAAGAGCGGCATGAACCTGAATCCGCAGCAGGATGGCACCACACTGTTCATACCCATCCCGAAGGTCACCAAGGAGCACAGGGAGAATCTGTCCAAGAATGCCAAGGCTCTGTTTGTCAAATACCGCGATGCCATTCGTGGCGTTCAGAACGAGCACATCCGCAAGCTGAAGAAGCAGCCGGAACTGGGCAAGGATGATGCATTTGCCGCCCAGGCTCAGGTCACCGCCATTGCGGATCGCTTCATCTCGGAGGCGGACAAGCTGCTGGCCAGCAAGCAGAAGGAGCTGCTGGGCGAATAGAACTAAGACCAAGACTGATCCTGATCCAAAAGCCTTAATAAATCTAAATACATCATTGTTTAACCGAAACTATATTCAAATGGAAACTGGCTCGTTTTTATGCTAAGAAACCGATTCTGTTTTCACTGGCTAGAAACTAAACTGCTGTAGTTTTCTTAACACAAATAAGGCTAATGCATGCATTAACTAGACAGTATAAATTATATATCTCATATTTCTTGTATGTGGATTTTAATATGATTTCATCGCTCAATAAGGATGATCTTGAAAACTAAAGAAAACCTCTAAAGATCAGTTTAAATAGTTGCTAATGGTTAATAAATCACCAATATAAATCTGTTCTTCATGCTCAAACCGAAAGTTTCAAATGTGAAGACGTTAACTCACCTCCTGACACACTCGCTGGTCCACGCACATCAGCTTCCTGAACTCCTCCAGTTCATTTTTCAGCGTCTGCCTGTAGTTGATGTTCTTGATCTTGCTGCGCATTCCGAGGACGTGCTCCTGCAGCTGCCTGGCGGCGGCATATACAGCGTCTATCTTGCTGTACCACGACTTGAGCTCATTGGGATCGAAGCCATTGCTGCCGGCGCGCTCCAGCTGATTGGCCTTGGCCTCCAGCGCCTTGTTGCGTTCCTTGAGTCGCTCGTTTTCGGCCACCACCTCGTCGATCTTCTTCACATAGAACTCGGTGGGCATCTTGGACTTGAGGACATTCTGCTTCAGCGTGGTGCGTATCTTTTTGGCCCGACTGGCATACTTGAGGGTGTTGTAGGTGTCCTCGTAGGTCAGCGAGCTCATCGAGACATTGGCCACCATCAGGGTGCGGCAGTTGCCGCCCAGCGAGTCCTTCAGAATGCGTGTCAGGTTCGAGTCGCGGTAGGGAATGTGCTTCAGGCCATCGGCTAGCTTATTGATGCAGTTTCCCAGCGCCAGGAGACTTTTGTTGATGCTGGCGCCCTCCTTGAATCGCACTCCAATGCCCTTTGTGCTGGCCGCCCTTTCACTGCCCGCCAGATCGATCATGGACAGTTTCACCGTCCTTTTTGTGTCCGTCTTGCGCTCTGTGATCCGGATGTGCACCTGGAAGATGGCATGTGACCGCGAGCTCTCTGCATTCGCATCTGTTGGGTGCTGGGTGCGATGGGAATTGCCCAGCATTAGCATCTTTAGCAGCTCCTCGGCACTGTAGATGGGTGTCAGGCAAAGGCCACTGACCACCACACCATTGCTGTCCTCGCGAAGTTTCAAAGGACCCGATTTGGTCAGGAGGTTCATAACATGCTCGTTGTAGACCTCTAGATACGTGACACCCACATCGAACTTGCGCACATCGCTCTGGGCCTGGATCTTGTCGAAGAGATCTCGCATGGTGAGGAAGGTTAGACCCGGATGAGCTTCGCTGCCCAGCATGGTGAAGGTTTTCCCGGCGCCTGTGGCTCCATAAACGAACACTGAACAGTTGTACCTAAGCAGGTTTGGTTATCAAATGATTAATGTGAATTTAGACAGGTGTAAAGTATTACTAACCCGTTTAGCACTGAGTCGACCAGCGGCGCGGTGCACTCCTCGAACAAATCCTGGTTGGAATTGTCTATGTCGAAGACTCTATCGAACTCCATGGTCAGCTTCTTGTTCATCCGCTTGGTGATGTCGCGATACGGCTGTTTGGCGCCCTGGAAGAAGAACTCGTCGTCCTCCTCGTCAGGATCGAAAAGTATCGCCGATCGATCCATCACCTTGATGATACTCCGCTGTTTTTGCTCCATTTCCCGGACATTATACGGCCGTACACGCACCGCCACTTTTATATTTGTATGCTGCTCCGAAGGCATTTTAATTTAATACTCTCAGTCTGTTATTTTTCTCTGTCTGTTATTTATTTTTTTTTGTTTTCGTCTTTTATTCCGAGATTTGAGCCCTCGCACAAATAATTTTCTCGTACAGCCTGAAGTGATCGTTGTTGTTTGAATCGGGGCTATTGGCGCTTGCGCTTTAGGGGCATCTTTATCAAATTTGCTTTGCGCGTTCGTTCTTGACTTCGAACTGTATTTCCAGGGTTGCTTGGCGGTAATCGATAGTCTTGCCAGGGCTGCATTATTAGTTGTGAATGGGTAATTTCACACGAATAGGCGGATAATTTATTACAACTGAGCTAATTGCGAAACAAAAATAATTAAGTTATAAATAGAAAATTATATAAATTAATGTCTTTTCATTTATGTATATGATTTTATGAACAAGTTAGATTATAAGTGAGGTGTAAGCAACTAATTTAAGCTCACATATTTATTTAATTTTAAAAATATAGCAATTATTGAAAGTTTATCAACAAAATGGAAACAATTTCAAATTTAGGTAGACATCCCTGAAAGTGCAGCAAAGGTAACGATTGCTAAGCCACCCAATCGATATCGATATGCTGCCTATCGCTTCGACCATCGCCTCCCCTACCTTCTCTAGCAAAAAGAACCATTTTATTTAAAGCAGCAGAAACAACAAGTTTTTTTTAGGATCCAGCACAAAATTGAAACAGTCAGAATCGAAAACAAAGCCGCCGAACGCCCAACAGAATGAGTGCAAAAGTATTATTCGCCTGCTCCAAATGTTTTTCGCGCCATCCGTACGAGGAGCTCTCCTCCGGCCAACAACTATGCAAGGTTCGCATTTCACCCAAAGAAAATAAAATAAACTAAAACCTAGAATGTACACCATTCCAAGCCGACGCCAAACAAAGTGCAATGTCAGCATTCAGTTCAGTGTGTGTTTTTGTTTGTTTGTTTGTCAGCGAGAAAAATGACGCGGCGTTGGCCAACAAAAAATTGCTGCGCAAAACCAGGGGAAATGCAAAAGGCAAGAAGAAGCAGCCAGGCGTCGCGTCTAAAAATGAGTTAAACAACAAACAAAACAGAGAAAAGCATATAAAACCAGTCAGTTAACCAACGGATAACCTTGATTTTTTTCAGGGCTGCCGCGGTTCTACCTCAGTCGGTAAATGTACTTACTGCCGCTCGGAGTTTCAACCCGCCACGTAAGTACGATAATGCTGTAGGCTATAGCTAATGCCAAACCTTATACCCTATATACATATATATATATATATATATATGTTTATATATATTCCGCAGCAAATCACAGAGTGCCTGCAAGAAGTGCGAACATTATCTGGGGAAGTACGGAAAGCCCAGTGCCTGCGAGTGCTGCAAGATTGTGGCCGCCTTCGGGGGCTCCAAATGCATGCGGTGAGTTGTGCCGACATCGGCAGATCAGATTCTTAATAATCCGTAAGCAGATCGAGTAGACATTTCCCATGGTAGTCTTTTCCGCCGAACCACAACGGCCGTGTAACTTGAATGCACAATGGAAGAGCTTCGTTATTTGATTACTCTCGAATGGGAAAAACAACAAACAGCTACCCCAAAACCCAAAATTGTGCCTTCAAAGTACATGACTCTGCAGATACTCCTGCCCGATCTCTATCGTCGGAACACCAAGCAATACAACCGTCTCTTATGAACGCAAAACATTTCTCTTCTTCTCTTTTCTGCCTGCCAAACAAATACAAACCATAACCCTATCGCATCGATATATAGATGCGCCAGCTACGAGGCAAAGTACGGACCGCCGGTGCAGTGCGATGAATGCAAGCTGCGATCAGCCTTTGACAGGCGCGACGAGAACAAAAAGGTCAGGTCACAGCTCAAAGACAAGCTAACTGGAGAGGATTGCTCGCCACGGAAGCAGCCCCTAATGTTAAAACCCTAAAATTAAGCCTAACGAATGTAGAAACTTGAGCATGGGTGAACTGTACCCGAGAATCATGTACTTGCGTTCATAAGGGACCGTGTTTAGTCTAAGATTGTACTACCTAAGCCTTTGCTGTGACCGCTCGTTAAAATTGAAAATTTTGATTTACCTTTTGTCGCCGGCAGGTCAATGGCAAACTCCTTTGCTGGCTGTGTACCTGCGCCTACAAGCGAGCGCTGCTCAAGGCCCAGCAGGAGGGCAGAATACCCATGTCCAAGAAAAGGCCACACGAGAAGACCTCGTCCTCGCACAGAGACAGCGCCGCGGCCAAGAAGCCATCGCGCAGCGAGCTGGCCAAGAGTGGCAGTGGTGCCAATAGCTCCGGCGTGAACCCGGTCAGCGGAGCCGGACTGGATCTACCCGACAAGATATCGCGCGGAAATGGAGGGAACGGGACCATCGCAACTCCCGCTGCCATCACCGTGGACACCAACTCGTCTGATCATGTGGTAGCCATCACATACTTAAAGGAGCGCATCGCCAGCCTGGAGAAGCGCTTGAATCAAAAAGACAAAGAACTGCTCGAGAAGGACAAGCAGGTGGGTGTTGCAAAGGGAAGGGTGTGTCAAAGGTTCTGGGTAGTTTGCGAACATAGTTTTTCACCCTATCAGATTTGTACCTACAATCTTGAACTGGATCTGAAAATCTGCCATTTTCAGTAACCAGTTTGCTAGATTTAAGCAAATTTCCTCCTATTGTTCGTTATTATTGGAGCAGTTGAATGTAAAAGCTTTTTGTACATGAGGTTTTAACAGCCAATAAAAACTTGACTTAACTATATTTCAAGTTAGGCTTTTTTGAAGAATAAGACAAAATAATGTTTACAATAACTTATACTCTCTCCCCCAGCTGACCGAACTGAAGGGCAAGAACTTTGAGAAGGAGAATGACATGCGCAACCGGCTGAAGGAGGTGGAGCGACTGCACGACATGAAGGTGGACAACTTGAACCGCAAGATTGCCAGTGTGCTTAAGGAATTGGCGGTGCTCAAGAAGAGCAGCAACAAGAAGAGCACTGCACTGACCAAGGCCGAGAAGGAAGCCATCAAGCGGGAGAACCTGTCGCCCAAAGAGGAGATCCTGGCGGCGGCGGTGCCAGAGAAACTGAGCAAGGCGGAGCCGTCCGATCTGGACAAGGACGAGAAGAGTCGCGATCGCGACGAAGAGCGCAGCGAGCAGGAGGATCGGGCCAGTGTGCGTTCGCGTTCCGGCTCCAGCAGCCCCACGCCCTCGTCCAACTGAGAGGCAACGACTTCCAGCTGCAGAAGCGGCAGGCCAGGATTCAGGATCTAGGGAGTCTGGATGCCGCGCCCCCTTTTAGTTTTTCGCTATACAAATTATATATTTTTGTACTTCTGCTTTAATTGTAATATAGTTTTACAAGATTGTTTCATATCACCGCTTTTTTATGAAGCTCATCCCTGCCGCCCCCGAGCCCTGTCCTTCCCCTTTAAAATGTACCCCCAATCATCAGTTAGAAAATGTAATTTGATAGGCTCAACTTAACGAATTCTTCTTTAGTTTAATTCACGATGGAACAACAAAAAAAAAAAAAACCGAAGCATTGTTTATATCTTAAGAAATATACAAGTTGGGAAAGAACCAAGTGGTATTTCAACAGTCGTTATAATTAATAATATCTGATAACAATGGTGTTAGTGGGGCTTGGGCTTGTGCCCATCCACGTAGAAATTCCTGGTGGCCTTCGGCAGCTCCAGTTCCATGCCGTCCATGCTCTTGTCCAGTAGAATCTGGCAACCGAGACGGGAATTCTCGCGCAGGAATGGCGCCATGTCCAGCAGGTCGTCCTCCTTTTCCTCGGCCTCATTTAGCTTCTGGAGGAAATCGTAGTGGACATAAACGTGGCAGGTGGTGCAGGCCAGCGAAGCCTCACAGGCGCCCTCCATTTCGATGCCATGGCGATGGGCCAAGTACAAGACATTGTCGCCCACTTTGCCCTGCACCTTGGTGCGTTTTCCATCCTTGTCCACATACGTGATGTTTACGCTGGGTTTATAGAGTATTCTTTGGTTATTGGTTGTATACTTGATGGCTTTGTAAGAACTCACATTTCCTCCGGGGATTTGGGATCCTGCCATTCGAACTCGCCATGCCGCCGTGCTGCAAAGTCATATGAATTTCATAATCTCAGTGGAGGTTTTCATATCAAAACAACAATGATTCTACGGGTTTATAGGCTCCACTTACGTATTGTGATGTGAAGAGCATTTCGGGGTGTGCAAAACGCGGGCTTGGCTATCTGTTTACTAATTAATTTGCAGGAATTATGAACTGCGGATCGCCGCAAAAGTAAACAAAACATTTTTTGAGGTTACAGTGTCAGTTGGCGATGGGCAATTTGCGATATGTCACGGGTTCTTATAAAGTAGATTATAATCGGATCAGTCAAAAATTTAATTGTTTGGCAACACAATAAACTTTATTCAGTATATTAACTTTTTTTTTTATACAAAACATTTTACTAGAGACTTTTTGATTTTTTTTTTTAACTGTGACTGTTATAATCGGGTTTTTGGGGAACTGTGACTTAAACCTATCGAACAATCGTTATCGGAGCTTTTGGCGGGCTTTAATTTAGAATTCAATACGTTTATCTGATTACACCTGGGAAAAGTCAAGCCTAAGCTTTTTTAAGTGGGTTTAACATCTGGGGACCTAATTTAAATATGCACAGCTTTCAATGTCCGCATAATTGAACAAAAGAAGTTGAAGGATAACAATATTTTCTTTATGGCATTTAACATAATGTCTCAATGATTAAATAAATAAAAAACATTTAATAATTGATACATTCATATTCCTTTATTAATACTTGGTTTTGGTTAGTCTTAAAATTGAATTGGACTTTTAAAATGTAGCTATTAATAAATAAATTAATAAATATAGTGCGATGCGTGCGTAATTTACGTGACCTTTTTTTTAGTGCAACGATGAACGAGAGTCTTGGGAAATCACTTGGCTGCTAATGCTGCTATTTTTAGGGGATCTTTACTTGGCTTCCGGAACTGGAGCGGAAGCTGGAGCGGCTGGCTCCTTGTGGCCATTTCCGTTCTGGAAGAGATCCGATGGACCCACATGCTTGATGGGTATAATCCGCTCCTTAAGCTCCTCCTTGGCATCCAATGGAGGAACTGTTATATTGAGCACTCCATCCTCCGACAAAGTGGAGACGATGGCATCCGAATCGTACTCCTTGGACAGCGGATAACGGCGGACAAAGTGCCGGGAGACATGACCATGGTCATCCTCTCGCTCCTCGTGCTTTCCCTCGACCACGATGCAGTCGTTCACCAGTTTGACCGTCAATTCACCTGGTTGAAAGAGACCCACGTCCAGGTGAACCTCGAAGTTTCCCTTCTTATCACGGGCACCAGCTCCACCCAAAGCAGCCAGGTCGCCAATCCTCTTGTTGGCCACCAGGTGATGAGCATGGGCACCCATACGGGCAATTAAGCCCAGGGTGTGCAAATCCAGTTCATGATGCTGCCGGGAATGCAATCGCCTATAGATACGATTCGGGAACATATCGTGTCCATAGTACATGGAGTCCGGCGAGTCCAAGTTTAAGACAAAGGGAATATCTGGCATTTTTGCCTTGTAGCTTCTCTGTGTATCTGGCGGAAGTTCGATGAACCGACGACCTGTTTTCGTTTTCAAAAAGTGCCCAAGGGTTAGTTTGCCAGCGGGGGGTTAAAGCAAACTGTTTCTGCTGCAATTTGGCGCACAATTCACCTTGACTTTTCCGACTCGAATGTGGAGTTTTACGGGTTCGCTGCACCCTTTTATAGGAGCAGGAAGAGCTTTCTCCACACCGCCGAGCTTTTCTGGAGCAGCAACTGGATGTTTCGGTGTTGTGATTCTGGGGCGACCTCTGGGAACCTTCTGGTGGCCAAGCTTTCGGATGTGTCGCTGTCCAAACCGCAGACAGCATTCGAATTTGATCTGCCATAGCGTATGCGCTATACAGTGGAACGCCTGTATGTTAAACCCTTTAGGGACAAAACCAAAAGTCATTGTTTGAATTATTTCATCCATAAATTTGTTTTGGCTTCATAGCTATTATTTTTAATACATCGTTTTATTTCAAAGGTATTTTTTAATAAAAATTTTAATATACTAAATATATAATTAATTTCTTAAACCATAAAAGATCCCCGAATTTAATAAAATAAATAAAATAATGTATCAATAATGTAATACATTTTTCGAAATATTTAAAGGAACATTTTTAAAGCATCCGGGTATTTTGCTTTCGGAAACGTTTTTTTATTTATAACAATATGTGCTTAATTTTAATTACATACAAAATTAAAATTTTTTTTGACCGAAGAAGAAGTTTATTTACTCTTGCAATTGTCACAAAATTTGTTTTGCTTTTAGCAAGCTCCGTCTGGGGGACTATCCCAACCGATTTGAATTTGAAATTCAAAGTGAAATCGGATCGAGAGACCCGACCGGCGCCAAATCCAGCGGAGAATTAGCGGCATCTCCAGTGCCGACGTCGAGAAAACTAACTAAACAAACAAGGCGACACCACAATAATCAGACTGCGATAAGCCGGCGTGGGCAAAAACACCAGAATAGCGAATCTCGAGCCCCATAAATGGATCTTCTGGGGCCGGCTGGCAAGTCAGTTGTTATTCAGCTGGCGAACCGGGTGAAATTCGTGCTGCGTCCCATAACCACAATGGCCACCTACGAGCAGGTTAAGGATGTGCCCAACCATCCGGAAATCTATCTGATCGACGTTCGGCGAAAGGAGGAACTTCAGCAGACGGGTTGCATTCCAGCCAGTATCAATATACCCTGTAATCCATCACTTTTTATATTATTTTAGGAAACTTATTAAAAATTCATGTCTTTTTTAGTGGATGAGCTAGACAAAGCCCTAAATCTGGATGGTGCTGCATTCAAGAACAAATACGGCCGATCCAAGCCGGAAAAGGAATCTAAGATCATATTCTCCTGCCGGTCGGGAAATCGTGTTTTGGAAGCTGAGAAAATTGCCAAGGGCCAGGGATATTGCAAGTGAGTTTTCAGAACTCATAACAGTTGTAGTGTTCTAAATGGTTTAACTATCGAATTGTTTTCAGCGTGGTAATCTACAAAGGATCCTGGAAAGAGTGGGCCCAGAAGGAAGGACTTTGAACTCATCCGACTTTATTACAATTTGGATTTTAAATTATTGCGTACACGAAATAGCACATGAGAAATAGGTTTTGGAATAAATACACATTAGCCAACTTTCTAAGATTATTTTTATTTAAGCAGAAATTCTTTAAAGATTTATTAAACAATTTTTGGAATGCATATTGAAAGATTTGTGGATTTTTAAACACTTGTTTTTTGATTTTTGTAGTGTTCAAAAATGATTAGATTCCTAAAGCCCACTGTTATTAGGTATATATTTCCTAAAAATCTAACAAGTTATTTATTTATTTCTATCAACCAAATTTTAAAATTTCTAATTACTTAGTTTTGGAATAAAGACTCATAAGCCAGCTTTCTTATATCATTTTAATTTACGCAACAAGTTTTAAAATGCAAATTTTAAAATTATTCTTTGGTTATTATTCGTTTAAGTGCTAAAAAATTGTAAGTTTCCAATAGCCCATTTTCAATAATAATATGATTTCTAAGAACTAACACTCTTACAAATAATTTTATTTATTTCAATAAACAACTTTTTAAACATTCTAAATACTTAGAGGATAAAATACTATTTTTCAGCTTTATGCTAGTGAGTCCTAAACTCAGCCAAATCTTTCGAATCTACATAAGTATAAACTTTTTGACTACACCCATGGTCAAGCTTTATTAACACAGCCAAACGTACAAATACTCACCCACTAGAAAGCTAGACACTCTCCGAAAATTGCTCTCTTTTGGAGCTCTCGCACTCTCTTTCTATCTCCCGTCATAAAAACTGACCTTCCCCAAGGCGCCAAGGGGAGAGAACTTCGTTAAGCTTCAAAAAAAGGTAAATACTGAATACCAAGAGTACCCGAAACTTCTATAATGTTCTCTAAATGCCAAACAACCACCCCTGTTTAAATGCCATTGGCCGATTTCAGGCAAAGCGGAAAATTGCATCAGCAAAGGGCAAAGAAAATTCGAGAGAGTGCCGGTGGTTTCTAGATTATGTGGACTCGCTCATTGCCGAGAGTATAAATAGCAACCGGTGGAGCACTTCTCTTCTCAGTTCAAAAAAACCAAATCAAAAGTAAACACCTCGCAAAAACAAAACAAACTTAAATTTCATCAGCTTAAAAAAGGATTGCAAAGTTAAAAATTACAAATTTTCGATAGTTGGAAAGATAATACATTAAATTCAAAGAAATATTTAAAATAATATATTTCAATAAATAGGAGTATATTTCAAAATACAAAGAGTCCACTAAAAATAAAAAAAAAGTAAAAAACTTCATCACATAAATTCAATAAATTACTTTATTAACTAAAAGTAAAAAGAAACCATAATGCGTTCCCTACCGATGTTCTTGCGTATGGCCGAGGAAATGACCCGGATGCCACGCCTCACCTCGCCCTTTCAAGCCTTCTTCCACGAGCCGCAGGTTTGGAGTGTGGCCCTTCCGAGGAACTGGCAGCAAATCGCCCGCTGGCAGGAGCAGGAGTTCGCCCCACCGGCAACCGTTAACAAGGATGGCTACAAACTCACCCTGGACGTCAAGGACTACAGCGAGCTGAAGGTGAAAGTGCTGGACGAGAGCATCGTCCTGGTGGAGGGTAAATCGGAGCAGCAGGAGGGCGACCAAGGAGGCTATTCGTCCAGGCACTTTCTCCGGCGCTTCGTCCTGCCGGAGGGATACGAGGCCGACAAGGTGACCTCCAGCCTGAGCAGCGATGGCGTCCTGACCATCAGTGTACCCAATCCGCCGGCGTTGCAGGAGACCCTCAAGGAGCGAGTGGTGCCCATTGAGCAGACTGGCGAACCGTCCAAAAAACCTGCAGATGAGCCCAAGAACGAGACCAGTCGGCAATAATACCCATACTTGCGAATGGAAAAAAATGAATGCTAGTGAAACCCTTATGTTTAGATTTCCCCATCCTTACCAAATTCAAAACCTTGGTAAATAATAAGTTAATTCCTAAAAGTTGTAGAATTGTAAACCTCTAGTTTTTATTTAGAAGAGAATAAATGTTAAATGATTTTTAAACAAAGTATTCGCATTTTTTTTTAGACTGTGTATTCCCAAACGACGATGCACAAAAATAAAATATGTTGCTTTAAAAATTAGACAGTTTTGTATATTAAGTTTAACCACCTGCGTGTGAGCTGATACAAAAACATTATTTTTTTAATATATACAAATTCAAAAAACTATTCCTTAGATGGAAATACTTTTAATAAGTGCCAAAAATACTTTCTGTTTTCTTTTGGCAACTTGGTGCCCATATGCAATGGCCATTTCGCCTACCTTTTTCCGCTTCCTTCGTTGATTCCGGTGACGTAGCCACTTGACGCGGGTCCAACTGGCCGTAGTATTGTCGTGTGCACCTCGTTGGCCTCGCCTTCGTCGCTGCACTTGGCCAATCCGATTCGTTTCGATCCCGTCCGATGCGCCGCCTCGTCCGTGCGGCATGAGTCATCCATCGTCTCCGCCATCCGCAATCCGCATCCGGCGAGGCCAGCCGACCATCTATAAAAGAACTGACGGCGGCGGCGACAAATTTTATAAGAATTTCGGACTCGAACGCAAACGAATCGTTGCCCTAATCCCGGCGAGAAATGTCTTTGGTGCCCACCACATATCGCGATCTAGCGCGTGAATTTGATCGACCACGTCCACGCTACCAACCACCGTATGATTTCCAACTTTATCCGTATTTGTGGGACGATCCGCGAGTCTGGTGGCCAGCACATCATACCAACAGGAGTGAGTTTTTCCGACCCCTGGATGAACTGGTGACGCGACGCGTGAAGAATCAGTTGATCCAATCGACGCCCTACGAATGGGTCTATCCCATGAGGTGGGATAACTATTATTCCGGCGAGAGAGTCCACGTGGATGAGAAGGGATTCCGGATTGACATAGATGTCCGGCAGTTTCATCCCCACGAAATTGTGGTCAAGACCAACGACGACTATGTCATCGTCCAGGGCAATCACAATCGCCGGGACGAAGGCTCCAATGGACTGGTGGAAAGGCACTTTGTGAGGAAGTACCTCCTACCCCGCGGTTACAACGCCAACGAGGTCATTTCGGATATATCCAGCGATGGAATTCTCACCATCAAGGCTCCACCTCCTCCGCCAGCCAAGTACTATACTCCCGGGGAGCGATTGGTCCGAGTCCATGAAACCGGAAAGCTGGCCCTGCCCTGGAAATAGATGATCTTTTCAAAACCAGGAAGGCAAACAGTGAATGTTTAGCAAACCAAAAATGCCACCACCCATCAAAAGCGCCTAACTCAAGGTGAACTATTTTCGGACGGCAAGCAAGTGCAACCGAACATTGGATTTAAATTGGATTCAAACATAAATAAAATATAAATTGTACTACTCGTAGGTAATATATAAAATGCGCAATAAATATTTAGTAGAAACATTGGGGTGTGCGGAGGGGTCTTGGTCTGGTCGCGCCCAAATGCAAGCGTCAATGTTATACATAGATGGTGGAAAAATATTTTATCATTACCCATTGCAACCTTTCTTTAATTTATTTTGTTAAAAATTCCATCACTGAAACTGAATCCCTGACAGTATACAAAAGAATACTTTTTATTTAAGAAGTGTAGCCCTAAACAAGTAGAACACTTGCTACTCACATACTTTCCATATTGCTTTAAAAACTTCTGGCTTTTTTTTACAAAAAATATTCCTAAATAAGAAATATTTGGGGTTGGTTGACCACACAAGTTTCTTAAAATATTCCCCTCCGACCAACATCCAGCAATCAAAAGACACAAAAATCGTTTAAATTTTTCACACCAGGTGTACAAATGATTTAATAGGTTTTCTTCAAGTCTTTAGCTCGTTACAAATGCAATGCAATAAATAAGGAACATACATAGATGTGTGGGAATGATGGGTGATTTGGAGAGTACAATGCTAAGATGATCCTGGCAAAGGTTCCTCTATTTCTTGGCTGCTCCATTCTCCTTGGCGGCTCCATTTTCCTTGTCCTTCGTCTCGCTGTCATTCGACTTTACATTGAGATGAGCGGGACCCACTTGCTGGATCTGAATGACCCGCTCCTTGGACTTATCTTGGATGGTCTGCGGTTTGGGGATGCTGACGGTCAGGACGCCATCGGAGGACAGCTGTGAGACCACCTGGTCCGGCTTGTAGCCCTCGGGAACCTTGTAGCGCCGGATAAAATGGCGCATGATATGGCCATGGTCATCCTGGCGCTCCTCGTGCTTGCCCTCGACCAGAATCGAGTCGTCCACCACCTTGACGTTGAGTTCACTCGGCTTGAACTGGGCCACGTCCATGCACACCTGGAAGCCATCCTTGCCCACATGGGCGGTGGCTGGCCAGTGTATGTCGTTGTGCTTGGACATCTCGCGACGCAGGGCCATAACCTGGCCGACGGTCGACGAAGGGCAAATGGGCGAGGCGCAAGGACACCCGTTGATCGAGCGGCGATGCTGATGTCCATGCGGCAGGAGCAAGCTGGAATGCGGATGCATTCCCAATCCAAATTCGTAGATGGGGGTGCGTGGCTCCTGGAGTTCGTCCACCAGCGAAAGAAGTGTTGATAGCGCCATTTTGACTTTGACTTTTTAGGTTAGATTTTCGACAGGGTTAAAATATTTCTTTTTTTTTTGGTTAGGTTGAATGAACTTGTATGACTTGCAAAAGTATTTTATTTTATTCCTTTTCTTTTTTTTAAGTTCTGCTTTTAAGGCTGAGTTGCGATGCGACTTCCTTGACTTTCAAATTCGATCTGTGCTCTCGTTGCAAAGCAGCGCTGCTTTTATAGGCGCCGAGCTTTTCTAGAAGAGTCCAGAAAGTGGTGGAGAGAGCGAAAGAGAGAGAGAGAAAAATAAGACGATAGGCGAGAGGGAGAAGAAAGAGAGTACGCAACAAGAAAAGGGTATGATACACCGAAAACAAATTATTTTTTATTATTATTTTATATTAAGATTAAGTTTGTAAGTATTATCAGCCCTTTTTTACTTTCGAAAGATTGAAACAGATTCCAACATTCCAGACCTGTTCCAGTTTTCCATTTCGCCGATAAAGTAATAAATTCTTTTAAAATAAGTTAAATTCTGTTCTAGTTTCCAAACTTATGTGAGAGGGACAATGCCAAGGCTTTTATGGTACGAAAAAAAGCATTTTCCCATTCCCTACCAGAAGTTTACAGCACTGGTTATATAGCGGCTGATTATATTACAAATTTTTTGTAATTCTAGGCATCTAATCTAAATTTACATTTGTTATGATACTATTTTTTCCCGTGCAGAAAGTGTGCGTAAAAAGTGAGAGAGAACGAGAGTGAAAAATAAAAAGGGAGATAAAATTTATTTATCTAGAAGAGTCTAGAAAATGCGAGACAATCATAAACCACGAAACTTAAGAGAAAATCCAAGAGAGCTGCCGTTTCCTATGTCGATTAAAGAGAGAGCTCTAAAGAGACAACTGACAATGAAGACAAAACGTCAATTTTTTTTATTTTGTTTTTCCGCTTTATTGTTAAGTACATTATTTTGTGTTTCTGTCTTTAAGTTTTACTGGAATACTTGTAGTTGTTGTCACATATGTTTTTAGGAAATCATACATATATCGTTCGCTATCTCCCACGCATAGTAATTGAGTGCTTTTCCCCATCAGCTTTTCTCTAGCTCAAAAAACACAAGAAACATTTATGGAATAAAACGCACGCGTACTCGTGCAGGTTATTATTTGTTCTTAGTTATTAAATTGTTTTTTTTTGTTCAGTCTTCACTTGGCCAGTTCCTCGGTTTTGGCAGCAGTGGCACCGTTTTCGCCCTGGTTTTTGGCCAGGAGTATGGCGGCATCCACGGCGGCCAGCTCCTCGCCGCCTTTCTCCTCAACTTTCTCTACTTTTTCCACCTTCTCCGCCTTCTCCACCTTCTCCTCTTTGCTGTCATCTGTGGGAGCTTCGGGTTTTTTGGCCAGCGGCATTTCCACATCCTCGGGGGCTATGACTGCTCCATTACCGTTATTGGAGGCTATGGCCACTTCGTTGGCATTGGCATCCTCTGTTTTCTGCTCCCCTTCGCTGCTCTCTACGGGATCGGGTGTGGGGTCCTCCTCCTTGGCAGCCTCTTCATTTTTGGCAACCACTTCCATGGATTCCGGCTCTGGAACGCCATTGTTGGCACTGGAAGTGTTTACTGCAGTGGAAGGGGTTTCCACTGCAACGGCGGCAGTGGCAGCAGTCTCGTTTGAAATAGAGGGAGAGAGAGCAGTTGCTTCTGTCTCCTCCTGACCATTACCGTTGCTCTCGACGAGAGTGAGCGAGAGCGTGGCAGTGGCAGTGGGAGTGGGAGTGGGAGTGGAAGTGGGTGCAGCAACATTGGGAGTGGGAGCACTAGCTGCCGTCTGCTGCTCTGCCTCTGCCGGTTTCGGCGGCTGCGCATCCTTTTGCTGCTGCGACGATATCTGCTGGATGTCCACGATGCGCTCCTGTCGTTCCAGGCCGCCTTTGGAAACGGGAAGCGGAGGCGGCGCCTTGACCGTTAGTATCCCGTCCGAGGAAAGAGTGGAATGCACCTCGTTGGGATCATAGCCCTTGGGCAGGATGTACTTGCGGATGAAGTGGCGCGAGATCACCCCGTGGCCATCCTCCTTCTCGTCGTGCTGTCCCTCGACCACGATGCAGTTGTCGATGGTCTTGACGGTGAGCTCTCTGGCCGCGAATTGCTTCACATTCATGCTCACCTGGAAGCCATTCCTGTTGACCACGGAGTAGGCCGATTTGCTGGCCGTCGGCTGGCTGCCACTGCCGGAACTTCCGCCGGAAGTGCCCTTATCGCCCAGCTCCTTTTCCAGTTCCAGCAGCGACTTATTGCAGCACATGGTTTTGGCTCCAGCCACACGATTGTACGGATGATGACGATGCTGCTGCTGCTGCTGCTGCTGCACCGGGGACTGACCCTTAATGGGCACCCACATCATGGCATTTCCACGCCCCAGGCCACGACTTATCTGTGGCGTATGTGTCGTAGCATCCAGAGGATACAGCCCAAATCCTGCCGAGTCGTCTATATCCATGGCCAGACTGCGATTAAAGTCATGCAGCTCCTCGGCCAAATCGAGTATGAACGGTATCAGCGACATTCTCACTTTTATCTTCACTGTCTTTTAGTTTAGGTTTAAATACAAATTTTTTTAGGTTTTTTAGGGGATTAGTTTCTTCTGGGAACCGGCGGCGATCCGTTCTGGTCTCCAACTGGACTGCGTTTGAGCCCTTATGGCTGAATGCCGACGCTTTTAAGCGGCCGTGCAGCGCTGAATGGAAAACCTGGTCGCCGCTTCCAGTCAGTCCAGCCTTCCAAACCCAGCTCCCAGGCGAAAAACTATAAAACTCCTCCAGAGAACTCGAGCAGGGGGAGGGATACCCATTAAAACAGTCAGGCAAACCATGTACTATGCCATTTTCTAGTATATAAACCGAAATAAGAGATACTTTTCCTATAACACCGATAGCCAGAGAACAAAGAAAGTACTCGTAATCCAGGGCGAAACCAGATAAACTGCAGCGCTGCAAAAAAATAAAAGAGGCAAACCGGCTTGTAACCGAGGGATATATGCACGAAAAACCCCCCAAGAGATGCCATCTCCCTAATAGTATATAAAACTGTATATATAAAACTGTATATATATGTATGTACATATGTACGGATGGGGTGTATGTAAAGTGGTCGTGTTGCAGCTGAATTCCCATTGCCGGCATGGAGCGAACAGCTGAGAGTCTCGTGCCGGTTGCCGAGTCGCCGGCGATAAACAACTACAACAACAGCTGAGGCCGGCTGGAAGCGTAAAATCCGCTGGAGTCGCTGGAGCTGGAGAATTGGCAATCGCAAACCGGCGTCGCGTAAACATGCGCAGTGTCAGCGTCTGGAGGAATACATATGGTCTGACCGTATATATGTACATACATACATACATACATACATACATACAATATACCCTGCCACACAGATGATGATATGCTGGATTGTATTCGTTACATACAACCGGTTGAAAAGCTCCAAAGAGCAACAACATCATCCAGACGAGGGCCAGACAGTGGAGACTTGCTAAATTTTGGTGGGGCACCGAACTTAACTCCTGGGATATATGTACATATCCCAACTGCAGTAGGAAAAGAGCAAAAAACTTCTGGGATTGCTGCGTATGAGATGTGCCCCTCTATATGATATATGTTCCTATATACATACCACTCAATCCCGCAATGTACTTGCTTTCATTTACTAAAACGAGGGGAAGAAATCCGCCAGACGAGCATTCTTTTACATTATGTGACCACCTTTCGAATAGACAACTTCCATTGCGTTGGCGTTGGATTGTGTAAACCCCGGGCACATAACACACGTACTTCTGGGATGAACACAAACAAAAGAAAAAAAAATGGGGCCATAAATTAAAACTTAAATGATATACATAACAAACAAGGATCGGGTTTTGTAGGAATCCATATATACATTGTACACATACATATGTATATGATTAAGCTCAATAAGCTCGTTATATTAATAATTTTACATAGGCATTGCAGCGTATTTTATATAGGTATTGCATCGTAATAAACAAATAGTAAACAAAATAAAATCTCGGGACAAAAGTAAGTGGACATCAAACCAATAGCTTAGGTAAACTGTTTTTATTTTAACTTAATGACTTCCATTTAATTTATTGAATTGAGACTATAATGGCGGTACAAGTACATCACTTAAATTTTACTGTGATATGCATTTCTAATAAAGTGATTAATAATCAGATTAAAACCTATTCAAGAAAATTCAATTATCTTGAAAATTTTAGAAATTTGTAAATTGCTACAAACATTTTGCTCTTTTAATTCGTAACTTAACTTATAAAATTTATTTACTATCACATAATTGTAATAAATTAGTAGGGAGATTAATTAACAACTGCGTTCATTTCTATTTGAAATAAAATATATTTTAAAACTTAAAAAACCCCAATGTTCTTTCTTTAAATGTTGTAAATGTTAAATTTAAACTTTATTCAAATGAGAAAACTTATTTAACCTGGCACTAATAATATATTCATGTATTTTAATTACTTCTGCCTTTAGAAACCTCACTAAATGGCATTAATTAAAGAAAATAGCTTGCCATAAAAAGAAGTACTGCTATGCAGTCTCGATGTTTCGCGAATATTCTCCTTCTTCCGAGTGCTATCCCTCCCATTTATCTGGTATACACACATAGACACATAATATTTGTTTGTGCCGCCGAATTATCACTCCACCTCGGCCCACCCCTTCCACTCTCCTCCAGTTTCCTCATTTTCCGTAGCGATACTCTCACTTTCAATGGCAGATAATGCGTAATTCCTGCAAATTCGAGAACTTTTTGCGATATTTTCAGCCCGAGAAGTTTCGTGGCTCTTCTAGATGTTTGTGCCCCAATGCACACATATACGACACACACACGCAGCGGCGACACTCGTACAGATACAAAAAGCACGCACACAGCCAGAGCGGGTGGTTGTATAAATAGCCGGCACTTTCATTCAACCGGCATCAGTTGAATTCAAAAAGCCAAAGCGATAACAGCTAAAGCAAACTTTCTCAATCAAAAAGAAACATTTAAAAAGTAATATTAAAGCAATTAAAAAATGGCAAACCTACCATTATTGTTGAGCCTGGCCGACGATTTGGGCCGCATGTCGGTGGTGCCCTTCTACGAGCCGTATTACTGCCAGCGCCAGAGGAATCCCTACTTTGCCCTCGCTGGACCCATGGAGCAGCAGTTGCGCCAGCTGGAGAAACAAGTGGGCTGTTCGTCGGGTGCCTCGGGGGCCGTCTCGAAAATCGGAAAGGATGGCTTCCAGGTCTGCATGGATGTGTCGCACTTTAAGCCCAGCGAACTGTCCGTCAAGGTGCAGGATAATTCCGTGCTGGTAGAGGGTACTCATGAGGAACGCGAAGATGACCACGGCTTTATTACCCGTCACTTCATACGCCGCTACGCACTTCCCGAGGGCTACGAAGCGGATAAGGTGGCCTCTACTTTGTCCTCGGACGGAGTCCTTACTGTGAAGGTTCCCAAGCCGCCGGCCATCGAGGACAAGTCCAACGAGCGCATCGTTCAGATCCAACAGGTGGGTCCCGCCCACCTTAATGTCAAGGAAAATCCCAAGGAGCAGGTGGAGAAGGATAATGGCAACGAGAAGTAGACCATTCGTTGCTAGGGATACACTGTATTTAACCATTATCAAAGTCATATATCTGTTTTATAAAAAGTAGTTTACCAGGGGCACTCTACCCATACATACATATAAGACATAAGGGAGTGTCCTGCTTTAATCATAGTTTGAAATATGCATTTCTGTAATTGGATGATTAAATATAAATAATACAAATAAAATAAATTTAAAATATAAATTTTTGATGTGTTTTTTTAAACTGAGTTGGGGGCTGTTAAGATTACGGATTTCTTAAACTGATTTAAGGATGTTACGGCCGTTTTCAGTACATTGTCCAATTTTTGTTATACTTTTTCTTCCAGAAATAGAAAAATACAACCAGAAAAGTACTTTGCGAAGGAAATATTTTTAAAAAATTTAGTTTTTTGTTGGTTTTAGTGCTTTTTTGCTTTTATGAAAAATAAATATATTGCTGTATATACATACAGACTACATAGTTGTGTATACTTTGATAAAACACTTTTTCATGAACTTTTTTTTTGGTCTTTTTAAGCTACGGATCTTTTGTTATTACATAAAACTGATCCTTTCTAAATATTTATGCAACAGACGAAAAATCCTGAATCATTTAATTTTAGCTGAAATTAAAACAAATTGTTTGTGTTCCACAAATGACGTCTTAAAGCGTTTGCCTTACTGGCCAAACACCTCCCTTTAAGCTACCTACATACATATATGTATATGAATGTACAGATGTACATTTGTTAATTCCATAAAACTGGTCTTTTCAATAAGAAATGTATGCCAGAGTAGAAAAAATAAAGAATATATATCCTGATTTACTTAACTGTAGCCTAAAAATGTTTGCAGCAAACAAAAGAACGGCAAACATGGGAACAGCACGAAACAGACCAGGCAAAACGAAAGTTCAGTGCACCTTGCCAATGAAAATATCAGCTTGGTTGCACTCCGAACAGAAGTCCGATAAGAAAAGAAAATGCTTTAAATAAATATTGCACTGCTGTTTTACTGTTTTCTTTTTTTTTTTGCAGAGGAACTCCGAAAAAAACTCCGAAGAACTTTCGAGCTCTTTCTAGCTCTCTCTATAAAATGCCGGCTGTGCTAGAAAGAGCGAGAAGATGCGAGAGAGTGTGCTTTGAATTCAGGGGCGTATCAAAAGGGTATCAGTTGAGATGTTGTTCCCTCACAAAGTTTTCGTGGCACAGGCTAAAAATTTAGCATATCACTTCAGTCGAAACACATTTTATATTTATGTTTTTGTTTTTTTGTTAGATCTAATAAAAATTAACCAGCTTTAATAAAATGCTGTACGAGAAGAAAGAATAAAAAAAAGGCACAAAAATGAACCCCCTTAAATGTTGCTGTTGACCCGCCCCTGATTGCGTTACTCTAGTGTGTGTGACCCGGCGTCGGTATAAAAAGCGTGCGTCGACGTCGACAGAGCACAGTCGAAATTCGAAAATTGTAGGGAGAAGTTAAAAGGAAAGCTCAAGGAGAAGTCAGAAAAAAAAAAATTCCTTTGTCTAGACAGGCTTGTGAACTAAAAAAAAAAAATAAAATATGTCGATTGTACCACTGTTGCACTTGGCCCGGGAGTTGGATCAAGATTACCGCAGCGACTGGGAACATTTGCTGGAGGATGACTTTGGATTTGGCGTCCATGCCCACGATCTGTTTCATCCGCGTCGTCTGATGTTGCCCTATGGTTCGCTGGGTCGTCGTCGCTTTTTGCCCTATGAGCGCAGCCATCATGGCCATGGCCACCATCATCAGTTGATGCCACGTCGTTCGTCGGGAGGTAAAAACTCCCTGCTGCCCGCGGTGGGCAAAGATGGCTTCCAGGTCTGCATGGATGTGTCCCAGTTCAAGCCCAATGAACTGACCGTCAAGGTGGTGGACAAGACCGTTGTGGTGGAGGGCAAGCACGAGGAGCGCGAGGATGGACACGGGATGATCCAGCGCCACTTCGTGCGCAAGTATACCCTGCCCAAGGACTTTGACCCGAACGATGTGGTCTCTACCGTCTCCTCCGACGGGGTGTTGACTCTCAAGGCTCCACCGCCGCCC